TCTGAGGTGATTGGCTTGATGAGGTGCGACATAATATTTAATTTTATCAAACTATATTAGGATCCATATAGATTCAACGATGAGCGAAACTCAACTATCCGATCAGTACTTTTACCATAGCTCGCTTAAGAGCTACCCGGAGATCAAGGTATCTTCGAGCAAGCGTGTACCGCACGTCATTGACCTAAATCAGGGTTCGTACCAGAATGGTGTCATCACTATCGATGCTACGGCTCAGCTTAACGGTTCCGAGGGCTTCGCAAGCCTTCGTGATGCCTACATTACGCTTCCCTACAAGGTCTCAATGAAGAATGGTGGCACTGCTCAAACTGTCGCTGCCAATCGTCTATGTGCTACTCTAAAATGCCGAAAATTGGAACGTTATTGATAGTCTGAGTCTGGAACTCAACGGAAAGACTATCGTCTCTATGGCTGACTACAAGCTCTTTTGGAACAACGTTCGTGCTCAGACTGGCTACAGCCCTAAGTACATTGAAAAGCACGGAGCTGAATCGTTCTTGTACCCTGACGCTGCTCAGTCGGTATCATACAGTTCTGGATCCGCATCTACCAGTGGTGATGGATATTCAAACACCATGGCATTCTCGTCTTCCTTTGCTGTCTCGGCTCCTCCTGGTGGTGCAACTATTCCTAATGATGGTTTCGTTAAGCGCCTTCTATCGAATCCTCCTACGGCTGGCGCTGACTTCTCCAGCTCTTGGCCGTCGGTAGGTGGTGCTGCTGCATCGACTACCATTTCTAACCAGACCTCGCGTGGAGCTTTCGTACCTGGTGGTACTGCTGCTAACGCAATCATGGGAACGTGGAACTACATGCTTAAGATTAAGCTCACCGATCTGCATCCTATCTTCCGTGAGCTTGACTTGATGGCTAACCCTCAAATTCGCCTGCGTTTCCGTGTGAATCAGGGAACGTCTGTAGTCGCGGTAGATGCTTCAAAGGGTATGTCGCTAACCTCTACTACTCTATCGTCTGGTAATAGTTGTCCAGTCATGATTGCCGCTTCTGCTACCGGTAATCCGATGAATGGTGTGCTTGCCGCATCTGCTGGCTTTAGTGTTGCTTGGGGAGCGGTTGTAAATGCTCTTGAACCTACCATCGATGGTACATACATGCCTTTTACTACTGCTCGTTTGTATGTCCCTTTCGTTCATCTTGAGAACCCTCAAGCTATTATCTCTAAGCCGGTTAAGAAGGTTCGCTACAATGATTGCAACGCACAGTGGTTTTACCAGCGTGCTGGTATTGGTAAGTCCTCGACTCAACTAAATGCTTCTTTCGATTTACAGCTGTCGGCAAGTGTTAAAAACGCGAAATATGTTGTGCTTTTACCATTCGCGGAACAGACAAACAATTTTGCTTCTGCTACTGTTCAGCAGTTCCAGAGCCCCTTCGATAGCTCTCCATACACGCTTCAGCCCGGGTCGTCGATTCGCAACTTTAACGTTCGTATGGCTCGACTCAGGTGTTCGATATCAGTCATGACTATGATTTCCACCACTTTACCAACGAAATTGCTAAGATTTCAGCGATTAACGGAGATCTAACCCCTGAGATCGTAAATGGTCTACTTGACTATCAGACGTGGTCGCTCACAAACCGCATGCTTATTGCCGATGTCAGTCGCCTGACTGAGCGCGATGTACCTCAGGCTATTCAGATCCAGGGTACGAACGCCGGATGCCAAGGTGTGAATATGCTGATCCTCGTAATTAGCGAACAGGAACTAACGTTCGATAGACTAACCGGAGAGGTTCTAGACTTCACTACAGCGTAAGTAAAAAAAGAGATATTTTTAGTTCAGTTCCTTGAGTAGCTTTGGACACTTGTCAATCCCGAATTGACTTTTTCTTAGCCAATCGAGATAGCCTGGATCCAATTTACTGATCTGCTGTAAAGATTTGCCTCGATACTTACCCCACGTCATCATATAGGAGTTATCGTTATTTAGGAATCTTGAGTGAAGAAAGATTTTCATTTTCTCGCTAATGTTGAGACTAGGTTGGTTGTGAATCCAACGACAGTATCCAGGATCATTCTTGAATACATCCTCAATGGATTGACCTTTGTATTTTCCGAAAGATAGTTCGATCGTCATGTTCTATGTGTGGGTATCTATATACATAGCCTCTTAATTTTTTTGAAAAAAATTTAATTCTGAAAATGACGCCGTAATGTGCCAGTAATTATTGGGAGTTTCATCTTACCCTCGCATGTGCGACTACAGGGTCGCGCGTCTGGTCGCTGGCTAACGGACGCCTCTTCGAGCTCTGAGGTGGTTGAGAGGTCGTGTAGGTAAAACGGACGACTATCCACAAAGATCGTTCTACCACCGTTCTCGGAGGTAAATTACGGTAAGAAATTATGAAAATAAAAAACTGCCGGCGTAATGTGCCGCGACCCACAACTCGGAGTGTAGCTCCGGCGGGAAGGATAAATGGAGTGCGCTCTCGCTCCTCCACTACTCGGTGATGACTCGCCCTTCGTATACACGGCCACTTCTTCACTACTCTTGGCCTGACCACGGGTAAACGCACGCTACGATACTAGCAGGCGCGTCCACCGACAGTCATAATCCTACCAACAGGTTTATCCAATTGCTACGGGAACGGCTTTTCCTCTTAACCACTCAAGGAAGACGTCCGGGCTATCGGTGAGGCAGCTGTGGTGTAGTGATTTGGCGGTAAACGAGAATCGAGCTGACGACCAAGCTTCAGTGGTGACCCGAGTCGTCGGGACATGTACAGCAATGTTCGGCGGATGCTGATTGGCCATTCTGGACCGGTGCCGAAGACTCGTCGACACCCAAGTTCGACACCCAGGACTTCAAGTACGATCCGAACTTACAGGAACTTTGACCCGAGATCCGCACTTAAGACGACCGTTCGATCCCCGGCGACTGCTCCAAGTCTTCATCGTCCAATAGAGTCATCGAGAGGCCTCTTGGGGCGTCGAGGAGGCTCTGAAGGGTCGGTAGTTACTTGGGAAGATCCAAAACGGACGCGTTTTCACGGACCACCCTCGTGTGGCCATTCCGTGATGCGATCGTCGTTGTGTGTCCTCTCGGCGGCAGAGTTTGAGACAAAGGTGAAGGCCGACGAGTACGCCGAACTGTATAATGTCACAGTGAAGACGTCGCCCATGGTGAAGTCCGTGCCGTCGCAGCTTCAAGCAGTACTTGACGGGTTCGCAGATGTCTTTCCGTCAGAGTTGCCGCCTGGATTGTAACAAGTTGCCGTTGCAGCAGACGCTCTCACACGCAATATAAACCTCGCAGGCCCTCAGGAACCGCTCAATCGAGCACGAAGTTGTCTTGAAACCAGGTGCGACGCCCAGCAACCGCGCCCCCTTCCGTCTCTCGAAGGTTGAGCAGGAGGCATTGGACATCTTTGTGGCAGAGCTGCTGAAGAAGAACTGGATCGAAGTGTCGGACTCTCCATGGGTATCAAACATCTTTGGCGTGCCCAAAAAGGATCCCGCGACTGGCAAATTACCATCACGCTTGGAGTGGCGTTCTCTTCGCCACTGTTCTAGTGGTTCTTGTCGCCAGCCTTCTCGTCACCAACGCATTCCTGGCCGCACTTCTTTCGGTTCCTCTACTCGCCTGAGCTCGAAGCAGCTCGGAATTGAATGTACTAGAAAATCTCACCTCCAACTCCGTGTCCAGGTCAGCGCAATGCAGAACGTGGTGGGTGGTAGGAAATGAGCAATGCACACACTCTCCCGCTGGCAAGAAGTGCAGCGTGCGCTCCCACCCGTCGACGAAAACGACCTCAATCTTGACCAGTGTCGCGTTCAGCTTTGTGCGCTGTAAGACGCACCCGTACTCGGGCAGCCACGGATCGTACCAGACGTCGCCCCGTGCGTGTCTCCCTCCCGATGCTGACAGGCGTCGGGCCACTCGTTGGAGAATCTCAACCTCGTGCGCAGCAAAGTAGGAGGCCGGGACGACCCAGTCGTCTGCAAGGGGCTCGACACGGCCGCACTTGAGCTCAGCAACGCCCGTCACCTCCAAGTCGGTCACAAAAGCAGCACATCACTTGGCCAGAGCAACGCACAGCGCCGCGTCTTGGCGGGAGCTGGGGGCTTTGTGCTTGAAGCGAAACACCTCGTGCAGCAACTCGTCGTCGTTCATCTCTCTCTCCGACTGCGTCTCGACCGAGGAGTGCGCGATCCAAAGTAGAACGGAGTGTGCCAACCACTCGCTGCGCAGGTCTTGCAGCGTTGTTTTCTTTTCCAGTTGAGACGGCCCAAGCCCAACGGCTGCATCGTGACGAACCGCCGTTAGGTCCTCGGAGATTTCTCGATCGCTCTCCGAGTTTCAACTGCTGCAGTCGCCGCCGTCAGCAGACGACGGTCAGGCGGCCGTTGGCGTTCACGCAGCGGTGCAGGGCCGCGTGGTGAGGGACAGGGAGCAGCCCACAAAACCAACGCCTGCATCAGATGCACGGGGGTGCAGCAGCAGCAGCCCAACGAAGACGGCGCAAGAAGAAGAATGATGGTCCAGAGCAAGTTGAAGTGATGGATCTAACCAATCAGAATGATCCTTTTGGCAGGAACGAGAAACCATTGGTCAAAACTTGCCCCACATGCCCCCCTTCGTTTATTTTTGATCGAAACGTGAAGATGGCACCAGGTGAGTGAGTGAGGGAGGGAGATCCATCCACCTATCCACCCATCCGCTGCCGCTATGAGGAGGGGTGTTAATCCTATCGTGTATCGCTGCGGTCTGCTGTGCTGCTGCTGCCACAGGAGGCAGCGTGCGCAAGGAGCTGGAGGAGCGAGCGGTCGGCTGACATTATGGGCGTCGATGCATCAAGTCCAATGGCACTCCAAGAGGACAGTTGTCCCCACTGCAATGCACCTGCCTCACTCAGGCAGCCTGAGTGTCTGCTTGCAGAAAGAAAATTGTCGGGGTAGAATACCCAGAACCGCATAGTTTGAGCAACAGTAAAGGTTAATTTAGAGATACCATTCAGTCACTCATTCTCCGAGTACTCGCTGGCAGTGAGCAGTTCACCAAGCGACTCACGCGCCTTCGATCCGAGCCGACGCTGGGTCTTCCCGCACCGGACGTGCTCCACTTCACTATCGCGGCCGCGCTTTCGAAGAGCGCTTTCCAGTTCTCGGAAGTTCTGGTACTTGGCCGACAGACCCACCGTCTTGGCGGCACTCAGTCCCGGTACCTGCATCAGCATCCTCTGGAAAATCTCGCGCACTGTGAACTGCGTCTTCTTCCGGAACTGCGAGTTGAACGGCGCGTATCGTTGAGGCGGCAAGCAAAATATCTTTGCGAATTCATCCGAGTCGAAGCGACCTTGAGGCAGCAGGTGCGATGTTGCAGGCTTTGCAGCAGTCGGGTTCAGCGGGAACTTGGCTAGAAGACGCGCGTACACCCGAGCGAGGAACGTCACAGTCTCGTCCGCGTTCTGGCACTGCTGAACGAAAAAGTTGTTCTGCACCTGCGTACGGCCCATCGCCGTGTGAAGACCGCTCGTGCGCACCGTGGTTATCTGCGTCAGCGAGCCTTCGATGAGATAAATAACATGCACGTCGCCGCAGGTCTCGCGGACCGTAGCCAGACGCGTCTTCTGCTCGAAGAAGCGGCGATCGATAATACTGCCCGACAGGTCGTGCACCTCCTTCCGCTCGACGATGATATTCAGCACAAACTCCTGCGTGTCCCCGCCGATGCGATAACGACGAGCAATCCATTGAACGTCTCCTACGCCAAGTGCGCGGACTTCGCAGTTCACGTTCCTTTCCAGCAACTTCCGCTCAAGGATGCGCGGGTTGCGCCGCTCGATAACCTCGCGATGGTCCAACAGCAATACCAGCTCCCACGTATCCGTCTCGCGGATCAGATCTTCAGGCGTAGTGCGCTTCCTGGTCCCCGCTTCCGGCTCCGGTTCGGGCAGTCGCGGCATCACCACACGAGGCTCCAGAACTTGATTCAGAATGTCGTCGTCCGAGTCTTCCGTCTCAATGCAAGTCACATCCGGGCTCGACGGGTATTCCCGCAGAACTCTTGCCGCCGATGGCTTCTGCTTCCTTGCACTGCCCGACGCAGCACCTGGTCGAGCTGAAGCTGTCGTCGCAGGCGCCGTAGCCGTTGCGGTTGTAGTTGTATCAATCGCGCTCCCTGGCAGCGATCCCGGGCACAAATCGGCACTGCGCCGACCTTTCTCCGTGAGATAGTAGTAGCCCAGGTTGGACCTCTTGACCACCTCGTGCGTCCCGCTCAGCGACGCCAAACACGTCCGCAGCTTTGCACTGCTGCCTTCATACTACATACAGCAACACCGTCAGTATCGTATCGTGCAACTTGACACTAACATAGTGCATTGCACTCACCCCAGCGGCCAGCATCCTCTGCAGCAACGAGTCACTCGGCACCGCCGCGTCTTCATCCACCGCGCGCGCCTCCTTCAGCACCAGCAGCACGAACCACGGCTCTACATCCACAAAACAACATTCAATAAATCATCAGCCCAATCCTCTTCCCTCCAGTTGACAGCACACAGCTCCTCACGCTTGCGGTACGCGGGCGCGTAGTCTCTCGCTGGCCGTTCGGGCGTTCCGATCGCGGCATTTCTGGACGATTTCTTGGGCTGCGGTCGAGCTACAGGGGTCGGAGGCGGAGGCGCAACGGGCGGTTCGTCCGGCGCCGCCTCCAGCAGCCCCCGCTTGCGCAGGATGCTGTGGATCTGGTTGGCCAGGTAGTTGCCGATGTTGCGCAACTTCTTGGCCTCGGCGGCGCTGCGCAGCGGCTCCGGGTGCGCGCGGATGGACGCGATGGCGCGCCCGTAGTTGGAGGCCAGGTGCGACGACTCGCGGATCTTCTGCTTGAGCGCCAGCAGGTCCTCCACCAGCGCGTCGTTGCCGTCGTGCAGGCAGCCCTGCGCGCTGCGCGCCATCCCGGACCGAAGTTGACAAATGAACGCAGGCAGTGTCGTGGAACCTGAAAGTTGATATTCTCATCAGGGTATTTAGGTTTCGCTTTGAGCCAATCAGAAAGGCCTTTTGGGTGACCGAACTTAACAATCGAGGGACAAAGTTCGTTTTTCAACGTCCGCGTCATTTGAAATCTCAAGCCGCGCGGAAAGCCGCGGACTGGACTCGTGCTGCAGCTCTCGCCCCGTGTACCTCCGTCCCCAGCGCGTCTTCCGCGCTATCTTCTGCTGCCTCCTGTTCCTCGCCGTGTGTTCTATCCGTCCGTGCTTGTTGCACCTCCCACCGCCCCTTACTCCACGTGATGCGCCGGTTTGACGCCGACAAGGAGAACCGCGTGGCCTCCAGCTACTCGCAGCGCGCGCTGCTGTCGGCGCGCCAGCTCAAGCCCAGCGGCGGCACTGCCACCGCCTCTGGCGCCATGAAGCGGCCACACAACCAGGCAGACGCCTCGCGATACCCGCGCAAAGCTGGCGGAGACCGAACGGCTGCGTCTCGACGGCCACAGGGCGATGCGGCAGCGCCTCATGCCAGCTCCTCCTATCTCCACGGTACTGGCATGGGGCTGTACAAGCCCACAGCGGCATCCACAGCTGCCAAGAGCTCCAGTCGAGTGGGTGCAAGCACTAAGACCACAGCGACAGCTGCATCGACTACCAGAACGGAAGCTGCAGCAGCGACGACGACGACTGAAAGCAAGACGAACGAGTCGGCGGCTGGCAAGAAGACGTGGAAGCTCAGCGACTTTGAGATCGGCAAGCCGCTAGGCAAGGGCAAGTTCGGCAACGTGTACCTGGCCAGAGAGAAGCAGTCCAAGTACGTGGTGGCGCTCAAGGTGCTGAACAAGCAGCAGCTCATGAAGTCCAGCATGGAGTATCAGCTGCGGCGCGAGATCGAGATCCAGTCGCACTTACGTCACAAGTCCATTCTGCGGCTATACGGCTACTTCTACGACAGCAAGAGAGTGTACCTCATCATCGAGTACGCGCCGCAGGGGGAGCTCTACAAGAAGCTGATGCGCGCCGGCCGCTTCTCGGAGAAACAGTCGGCCATGTACATTCAGGAGATGGCGCGTGCTCTTATCTACATGCACAGCAAGCACGTGATCCATCGAGACATCAAGCCCGAGAACCTGCTGGTCGGCTTCAACGGGGAGCTCAAGATCGCCGACTTCGGCTGGTCGGTGCACGCGCCGTCGTCAAGACGCACGACGCTGTGCGGCACCCTGGACTACCTGCCGCCCGAGATGATCGAGAACAAGCCCCACGACGAGAACGTGGACGTGTGGACGCTCGGCATCCTCATGTTCGAGTTCCTGACGGGCGCGCCTCCCTTCGAGACGGAGAACACCAAGGAGACGTACCGCCGCATCGCGCACGTGGACCTCCAGTTCCCGAGCCACGTGTCTGCGGAGGCTCGAGACCTGCTGCTGAAGATCCTGCGCCACGAACCGCGGCAGCGTCTCCCGCTTGAGCGTGTGCTGCAGCACCCGTGGGTCTTGCAGCACTGCTCGGAGCCCAGCAGCAGCACCTAGTGTACAGGTAACTTCCAGTAGTGAGTGTAGTCTATTGCTTGCACAAGTGTCTCTGAGTGTTTGTGGTCTCCTTCCTCTTCAACCTGCCGCTGCCTCAGCCTCTCTCAGCTCTTGTCCGGGTGCTTGAGCTCCTCGGCCGCCTGCTCCGCCTTGAGCTGTGCCTCGCGCCTCTGCTCGCGGTGCGCATCCGCGATCTTCTGATAGCTCGTGGGCAGCTCGAACTGCTTGGCGAAGCCCTCGGCCTGCTCGTCCAGCGCCTTCTTCTGCTGGCCCACCGTGCTCTGGAACGACTCAAAGACCTCGGACCGCTGCACGTCGCTCTCGGCCGACTGCAGCATCTCCTGGTTCAGGCGCCGCAGGTCCGACAGCTTGGACTGCACCTCCTCGTGCGCCGTGCGGCTGCGCTCGTACGTGGCGCGGTTGGTCTGGCGGATGATGTACGTCGAGTCCTCCACGATCTCGCGCACCATGCGCGACGTCTGGCCTCCCATGGCTACACTTCCAGCGTTACGGTGGTGATGACCTGCGTGGGTATAGTGGGAGCAAGTGTGCTTGTGCTGGAATGATTGGGACGAGAAGTGATGTGGTGCACACAACTGGAAAGTGTTGGCAACGATGGCGGCGTATCTGCAGGAGATGATGAACCGTAAGTGGGCGCTAGTGGGCGCTGTACGCGGCGGTTGAAGGCCGCAGAGGCCTCGCTGTGTAGGGCAAGTAACTAGGATCGGTCCGGTGCTCAGTTGTGCGGTCTAACGCTCGGTTTCTTGCCTTGTAGAGACCATTTCGGTCATCACGAACGACGGCCGCAACATCATCGTACGTCTGCTGCGTCGTACCGTGCCCCAACGCACTTGAAACGCATTGTTCTGACTGTGCTGCACCGTGCCAAACTATGCAGGGCGTGCTCAAGGGCTTCGACCAGTGCGTGAACGTGATCCTGGACGACAGTTTCGAGCGCGTGTTCTCGCTCAAGGAGCCGGTGGAAGCCGTGGAGCTCGGGCTCTACATCGTGCGCGGCGACAACATGTACGGTATCGCTCCTGTGCTGGCTGAAGTGCAGTGGAATATGAGCTAATGTGGCTGCTGCTGTGGTGGTTGTGTGCGGTTAGCTCGGTGATCGGCGGCGTGCCCGAGAACATCCGAGAGCAGGTGATCGACGACCAGACGCGTGCGGCCCCACTAAAGCCGCTCGTCCATTAACACCACACAGTAATTTACTTGGACGTCGATGTTGCACTGGAGCGGCGGTTAATTTCATTTTTATGAGTTCGTGTTTGGTCCGGATCGGTGCAGAAGGCGAAAAAGTTGACTGTTTCTTCGATATGACGCTACGTCGACAAGAGGAACGGACACGGAATGGATCCACAGCGAAGGCAACCAGAGAAGTACGTTGTCCCCGCGATGGCGTCATCTTGACGAACGTCGGTGTCGACCAAGCAACAAAACGCCCCCTTCCGTCATCATGTGAGCTAAGCACACGTCGCCAGAATGAGGCAGATTGGTATGTTTGACTGCTGGCCTTCCTACCTAAATAGGGCATGAGGTACGGCAGGTATACCTAGCATTACTGCGATGACGTAAGATGACATGTTGCTCCTTGATCTAGTTGTGACGTCCGTCCACATGGCGCCAACACGGGGACGTGCTGGTTGCGTTTGTAACTACGAAGTTGGTTTTTCTTGAATATCCTACACTCTATCTGAAGTACGTCCTTCTCAAGCTTAACGAAGCGCTTCATTTACGCTATGATATCAGCGCTGTAATCGGGTCTGATTTGCTAAATCCGACCTCCTAATTAAATCGACAGACTAAGATTTGTACTCTGATTTGACAGAGCGGTACAGCCGAAAAATTTAACCAACACGATCCGGCAGTGGAGTCTAAAATATAGAGGCTACTAGCCGGTAAATGGAGACTGGTACCTCGATTGTACTCCAGGAAATCCAACCTACCGGTAGTCAGAGGCAAGCGCTGGCGGAGACGACGACCTTGCCAAGGGCACGACCAATATAAACTACGTCCGAACAAGGGCTAAGCAGCAGCCCAGAGAACTACGCGGCAGCATTTGACCTAAATAGCAGCCTCATGATCAAGGGTTTCCCTTTTTTCTCTACTTCGAAGTATTTCATTTTAGGCATATCGCAAACAGCAAACCACCTAACAAACAAAACATTTTCTTTTTCGAGAACAAAAAATGCAGATGTGTTGTACTCATTTATAGGAGTTATACACCCTCTTTTAGGAGTTCAAAATCCGATCATTGACCACTTCACATTCACAGCGCAATGATGAGCAGAGTGATTGTCCGTCGCCTTGGCGGCGTGCGCCGCGCGTCCTCCGCCTACGTGCGGCCCAACTGGCTGGAGGAGAACTGCGGCGACGTTCCTGTCCACCCGCAGGCGCAGGACTCGGAGGTCAGCGAGATGCTGCGCGGCGGCCACGCGCTGCAGATCGCCAGCGCCAAGATGCTGGACGCCAAGGTCTCTGCGAAGAGCTATCTACAGTATACCCGTATTTTGCCCATACCAATAATAACAATCATTATTATTTATTGTACGGACGAGCAGGTGGCCGGTGCCGAGCGCGTTGTAAAGACCTACTCCGCGGGTCACTACGAGAAGCTCAAGGTATAGCGAGCTTTTGATAAGAGTTGGAAACAATTACTCACGGTCGTGTTATTTGTGCAGGAGCTGCAAAACATTGAGCACAAGGCGGTGCAGCGCATTGAGGATGCTGTCCGCGCCAAGGACTTCAGGTTCCGACCGAGTCTGGTGATCCCAGCAGTCGAGCTTAGCAGCCTCGTTGTTGGTGAGTCCGATTCACCTGGAACAATGTTTTTGTGCTTCATCTGACACGGATTGTTGTTGATGTTGCTGTTGCTGTATGCAGGTGGAGCACTGAGCGCGGTGGGGGATACAGTGAGCACGTCGTACGTGACGGGCGTGAAGATGGCTGTGAGCGACTACTACAACGACCAGATCCGAGAGATCTACGCCAGCAAACCCGACCAGGTCGAGCTGAAGGAGGTACGGTGCTTGCCGATGGCCAGTGAGGATTGAACGCGTGCTGATGATCTGTGGTGGCAATTCGGCAGCTATTCAAGGTGGCGCGTGATGAGGAGCAGGAGTTCGTCGACGCGCACACTCCGGATATTCTCGACCCGAACAAGGGCAGCCCAGACGCCGTGACGACGTTTGCCAAGGCCTCGCTGAAAGTGCTGATTCAAGTTGCCAAGGCTGTGTAAGAGGTTGCTTTGGTTGAGATGATCCGCTCGTGTTGATCAATTCAATGCAATGCACAGCTGAAGACACAGGAGTTTGGTGTAGGTTTCTTGTTGAAGGTTCATGCATAAGGAAGGTAATGCTCCCTACGCGTTGTCTAGCTAACCACGCTCTCACTCGGTGGACTTGAAGAGCAGTACGTAGTGCTGATCGGCGCGAAAGAAGAGCAGATACTGCGTGTCGTACGCGATGGAGCAGCCGAAGCCTTTGCCCACGATGCAGTGCCAGGTCTGCCCGTATTTCTGGTCGAAGAACTTCTTCATGTCGGTGGCGATGTCCTTCTCGATGGCGTTGGGTGTTGCCTGCAGGATCTGGATCAAGTGCGCGACTGCCTCGTCCTTCATGGCAGTGCTGAGTTCGAGCCGCAGGATCGTGATCTTCGGCACTTTACCGGACCCCAGGCCATCCTGCTGCACGTCGGGCGAGGCTCCATCGTCGCCGATGACTTTGGATGCATCAGGAGGGCCCATGACGGCGGCTTACTGTGACTCTGACTGATGGGAGTGGATATGCGGGCGTCGGTTCACGTCAAAAGTGCCCGTTAGGCTTATTATCAACGCTTTCTATGGATTTGTTGAACACACAGGCTACGCTACGGATAAGACTAGAGCCGCTTGAGTCCTCGCTGCTGCGGCTTCGAGTTGCGCTGGGTCTCGCCGCTCCAGTACTTGCGCTTGACACGGTCCACGGTCCGCGTCGAGTACAGCTCGAAAAAGGTCGAGGCGGTGTCGGCGATGCACGAATACCCAGGGCCGTTGGCGTCGCGCGTGTAGACGAAGATCCGGAAGCAGAACGGGAACGTCTGCGCGGGCGCCGAGCGCGTCGCCTTGCGCTTCTTCTTCAGCATTGGCTGGACCTTCCACACGTCGGGAAGAAAGAACCAAGTGCTCCGGATGAAGCGCTTCTTGGAATGAGCCCCAGCGGCGAGGCTATCCAACTTGGTGTCCGATGAGTCAGTCGCTTGGTCGTGAGGGGACTCAGGCAGCAGCACACGACGCTCTTCCATCTCAACCGCCTGAAAACACGTGAAGCGGAACTGCTCGAAGACTGCGGCGTTCGGAAACGACGGCGGCGCGTTGAGCTCCTCCAGCAGATTGGTCGAGTCTTGCTGCGGGACGCGCTCGAACCGACCAAGAACAAACACCTCTCGGGCTCCGCTCCCGCCGCACGGTACCCTCGACCCGTGCTCATGCTTGGTGTGTTGGGTCGACGCTGCTGGCAGGAACTCCGCGGCGTTCGTGAATGCGTGGCAGTACACGGGGCCACGGCACACTCCGACGCTCGAGTGCTTCCGGTTGTTCATCTTCATGGAGTAGAAGTCGTGGTGCTCGGGGCAGGACGGGAAACACTGCAAGTTCTTGCGTCCATTCTTCCAGTAGCAGTCGTTCAGCGCAGTTAAGAGCTGAATCTTGGCAGACTGGTCGAGCGCCACAGGGCTCGTTGCGGGAAGCGGCATCACCTTGCCAGTCATCGCGTTAGCGACCTTCGGAGTGGATCCAAGTGGGCGGAAGCAGTTCGCGCTGCGTTGGTTGAGCGTTGACGAGCGCAGAATGCGCTTGATCGCTTGCCCCTCGTCAACTCCGTGAAGCGATCCAAGTGCGTTCTGCAGCTGGTTACCATGACCACCGTTGTCGTTGTGGCTTTCCTGCGGCTTCCCTGAGTCGGTGGGCGTCGTGCTGGCGGTCGAAGGGGCCGAGAATTGGTGCTGCTGGCCTTGATTCGCCATCCAGCGAGAATCCGAGCGGAACGTCTCGTCTTGGCTTTGCATCATGCGGTAAATTGACGGCGCTGGCGACGGGTTTGAGTGGAGCTGATTGTGTTGAAACGAAGGTGCGTAGTCGTGGAGAGGGGTTGTCATGGCGGCGGTGCTGCTAGACGCAGCACCATCGAAGAACATGTACCCGTTTGGTGTCGTCATGTGCGAGGACACGTTGTAGAAGGGCTGACCGTGCTGTTGGTGGTAGTGCTGGTTGTCGTAGGCTTCTGCAGTGCCCCCGGTCCAGGTGCTAATGTCTTCAAAGAGAAGCTCCGACGGTTCCAGGGCGTGGGGAAGGCATGGAGTAAAACTTTCCATTTGAACTGGGGAGGGGGCGTCAGACGGACAGGGCAACGTATCTCCTGGCAGCTTTCCCGTCGAGGTGGAATAGTCCACAGTGCTTGAATGGAAGCTTGGCGTGTTGATAGAGCATGGAGCGCTGCTCTGGGTTGTCGCTGAGCAGGGCGCCTGGGACTGTGGCGTAAGTCCGCCAAGTGTCGGCAAGGCAAACCCGTTGTTGCCACTTCCAACGTCGGACTTTCCGCCCAAGAACCAGCTAGTACCTGGGTACGGCATCGAGATGACTGGCAAGTCGTGGTCTTCGCTGTCCAAAGCGAGCTTGTTCATGGGCTCGTTCAAGTGGCTGAGAGACGAAGCCGAAGAAGACGACGCGAGCGACACCGCCGTGCTGGTGTAGTCATGGTCCAAGTACGTGTCGTCGAAGGAATTTGAAGAGATCGCGTGCCAATCCGAAGCCCCGCTACCAATGCCGCCGTCATTGCTGACAGGAATGGTCAACGGACCGCCCGATCCAGCACCGTGCAGCCCGTCGTTGTTGTTCCCGTGGTGCGCGTGGGGGAAGCCACTCGAAGCGCCGTGGTGCTCCGATCCATCAAGAAAAATGGACCCTGAGGCGTCTTCGCGCTTCAAGCTCGGCCACTTGCCGTCGCTGGAGATGGAGCAGCGCAGCTTCGCATCCGCGTTGTTGTCCTCGTCGCGGCCGGCATGTCCTCGCGGGCTGGCCATCTTCTTGTCCAGCGAATGGTCACTTAGAATTCGGAGCTGGAGTGTCGACGACAAGGTCATCGGGTCTTGTTCACGGGGGTATGACAAAGTGTCGACTCTCGACTCGGATCGGTCAGCTCGAACTGTGAGCTGTTCGGTGTCCGGCGCGGGTGGAGTTACGATGTGATAGGGGCCGCTGCGAAACTTCATGAATGCCGCCGGAATTGGGATCGAGCAACCGAACGATCGGTTGGGCCTCCGCTCTCTCGCAGTCGGGTGGGCGGGTGCCTAATGTTCTGTGCTTTCTGCTTGTTTCCGGGCGTTTGCACGAAAGCGATTGTCGTGTTGTCTCGGAATGACTATGGGGTCAGCACGGAGGTGATTTTTGCTAGTTGTTTCCGTGATTTTGGGACTGCCAGCGAAAAGCAGAAGGAATTTCGCGGGCGGGGCGACGTCGCTAGTGACGTGCCGCGGCGCGTCTGGTTCGTTGGACTGTAGCTAGCGCGCGCCGTGGATTTCGAATGTCCGCCGGGTTGCGGGACCGGGGCGCTGCGGCGAGTCATCCCGCCTCCAAACGGGACGGGGCCTCGAATTCGCGGTTACCGGAACTTCGAACAACAAAAGCGCGCTGGCAGCTGGACGACGCCAAGATATTGCAGTAGGTTTTGGCGCAAATAGTACGTGGCAGCCTTGACAGAAACTTTGGTGCGCCTGACGGGAGCCTGTCATGGGCCGGCGTGAGTTATACTGGGCGGCTCGGCACCACCGCGTCGGGGTCAGATGCCCCGAAGCGGTCTGATCCGCTGCAGAAGCTGCATAAAAACTTTGCTGCGCCGTCCCGTTCTCAGCTCGCGTGCGAGTTATCAGTTTGGGTGGCGCCGCACGAGTTGACTGGCATCGGCCTGAGCTGGAGGATCAAGCAGATCTATGCAGCTGGGACTCGGCTGATGGGACCGGGACTTGAACCTCCATAGCTCCCAGGGCGAGCCAAGTAAGAGCTGGAGGCCGGCACACGGGGACTCGGCGTGAGCCCAGAGCCACGACTGGCTCGCTCGATACGTGGAAAAAATTGGCGTGGCTGCGATGCCATTGCGGACACCTTCCTTCGCCGAGTGTTCCGACGCGAGGTCGCGCCAAGCAGTCGGTGAAAGCTGGCCGCACAAGCGTAAGTGCGACTTCGTCTAAGCTTCTAGCCGGGGTCATTCGTGCGTCGAGCAAGAACCGTCTTCCAGCAGACTCTAGCGCCATCCGTCGGGCAGTGACGACCAAGCGCCGCCCGTGCTCAGGCGCTCGCTCGCCGCATTCCACGAAAAGCTGCTGAGAGCTGCGTTAGTACTCGAAACTGCTGCAGGGCGAGCCACCGACCAAGCCTTCAAACTGCGTGGACGGCGATGCTACAATTCATGATGAAGGAATGGAATGCTCCAGGTGAGCTCACATGCAATGGAGTGCTCTAGAAAGCTCAATTAGCCCGAATATTGTGCACAGGTAGTGTTGAGTGCTCGAGTTGAACCACTTCCATAGAAACACCGTTGGGGTTGAACGGGATCGAATTCCTCAGTAGCGGAACCTATTTCCAGTGCTAACCGCAAAAACTATGATGGCAGCCTTCACCTTTCTCAACCTTTCTCAACAGTAACGAAGAAGCAGCATGCATTATGCATTTCTACCAGTACATCAAGCATGGACGACGCGTACCGTACTATCTTTAACGGAGCCCGCGGCACCAAAGAAATAGTTGAACTCGTGAGTCAAGTCTACGATTACTACAGTAGTACGAAGGCTCTAAAGAAAACGTCGTTTTGCCGTAAGAGTGACAATCGATTGACCAGGTTAGTCTTTTTTGCTGTGAAAGCTTCCTAGAACGAGCTCAACGTGACTAGGAGTTTGCACCTAGAGAGGCAAGTAGCATACTACACGTACGTGCTACTCGCTACTAACCTGACAGCCCCAGAAGGTCGAGCGACGTTTGGGTCGTAGCTTCGACAGTTCCGTAGAGGCAGTTCCCTGGCATCCGCGAAATAGCAAACGGTGCGTTTGAACTTGGCTCTCAACCAGCCAACTTTGATGGAGTACATGTGTCTAGGAATTGTCTATGGATTGAAAAGTATTAATGTGTAAAGTTCTCATAGCTTCGAGCGGTAATTCTCATTTTCATGCTCATCAGCCCTCCCAAGTTTCACTACTTGAGCCGTAGTAGTGGACACGCGGATGAGAGTTTAGATCCTGCCATCATCACGCCGCACGATCCCTTTAAAGCGCAAGGTTGATCGCCACCCACATTACCAGCCCGGTGATTGATGTGGCCAACATGCGCGAGGCACTTGAAGTAGTTGTTGTGGTGGCGGTGCTGGTGTCGCTTCCCGATGCCGATGACGTCGAAGAAGCGGAAGAGGAGGAAATTTCCCCCATTAGAACAAACCTCATGGAATTCATGCGGTAAATGCTCTCGACAACGCAGTCACTTGGATTGACGGTCACGTTCATGCCGTCCCAGACCTCCCAACTACTTTTCGGTCGTGGCATCGGCATAGAATAGGATGAGCGTGCTGCATGATGTGAGGATCAAAGTAAGACTTGACATTAAGAGATTACGAAGCAGCCGCGCGTTGGCACGCCTTAGGCGTGAACCCTGGGTGAGGTGTGGAGGGTTCGCGCGGCGATGAGGACTTGGAGCTGGTTGGTTTGGCGAAGGGAGAATTGAGAATGAGCTTGGGCTACTTCGACTAGTTGCTGGGTCGTCTCAGGTGTACTTTTAGCGCTGCTAGAGCACGATAAGAGTTGAAGACGACCTTGAACCCGATTGGTGCCTCTCACTCTTCAAAAACCTCTTTCGCCTCCGTCCAAAAGCATCATTTCGTCTGAAGTATTGCCTGAAGCGAGGACCGCAACTCGCAAACTTGTCTTTGGAGATCCAATCTTTCATGGCGCCTAGTGTGAAGAAGTGAGCCTCGCCGTCCGCAAGAAACACCTCACTCGAGACAACTTTTGTGCATGAATTGTCGTCGCAGTACTCGATGACGAAGAGCCGCTTGCAGGTAGGACTCCCGACTGTCACTGCAGAAACTTTGCCCGTAGTAGGCCATCTCCGAGATCCCCACCTGATATTTATTGCATTCTGAGTCTTCGTCCTCTTCTTCACAACCTCCCTCTGCGATCCTCACGGTTGAAGGCTTTTGGCACTTTGCATCGTCCTTGCCAGCATAAATCGAGACTTTGTTGTTGACAGGCGGCGCAATGGGGTTGACTGAGCTGGAGGCGGGAGGGTCGCCGACTAAAAGGTACTTCACGGCCAGCGTGTCGTAGTCGTCTTGCGGGATGCAGGCCCCCGTGTTGACGCTCACATTTAGCGTGTCCAGGACCCATCAGTCGCCGCTCTCACAATTTCCTTGGAGCACTGCTGCCAATGACTTGTCTTCGGCCGTCCACACCCTCACAGAGCCCATCGTGAAGTAGTGACACTCGCCATCAGCGAGGTAGGCCTCGCTCGAAGCCAGTTTCTTGCAGTCGACGTCCTCGTAATACTCGATCATGAAATACGGCGCTTGTCCGAAAGTCGCGTCGATGACGATGGTGCGACTGTCACCGCAGCTCCTTTGTGCGTAGTACGGGCCAGAACCGAACCCCATGCACTCGGACGAATTGTCGTCGTCGTCGTCGCAGCCGCCCTCCTCGATTGCCACGGTCGAGACGTTGGTGCACAGCTCGTCGTCGAAGCTGCCACGGACGCTCACTTGGACGGCGTCTGAAGGTGCGGCCTGAAGTTGTAGCACGGCTAAGGCTCCTATGACGGAAGTGCCACTGGCCTTCATGTCTTGGTGGTGGTAGTGGTGCGCGAGGTGGTCGAATTGACTGTGAATGCTGGTTCGAGATGGAAACTTCGATGGTGTCGAGCCTAAATCCCATGTATCTGCGCGATACAACAGACTATTTCTAACGATTTTGATTGCGGAAGGACTTGAGATAATTTCCGACGTTGATCTTGTCGACCGCGAGCTGGTTGGCGTCTTAATTTGTATCGCATGCAGTCGAGGTAGTAGACCTCCCCAACACCTACGTTCCGCCCTTTGGCGCTTTTAGAGGACGCTGGTGATAAGGTCAAATATGACCGTTGCCGGTAAATCTCAGCTGTACGTTGGAATTCAAACCCAGGAAAGCGAATGAGTTCGCAGCTTTAATTTATCTGGTGGAACGGTGTCACCTGCATCGGCATCTGCATTTGCACGAGTGCAATTGGCAACGGCATTGTGTAAGAGGCCCTCGTGTTATCCTCCGGAGGTCCGCCAATACCGTATTATATTGTATTGAGATCATTGTCGAGCCCTAATAAATATTACAATGCTTTGACAAACAATAATAAATGTTGCCGTAATTTATATTGTATTGGAGCATAGAACGTCCTATTTTATCGATTTAGAGGGGAGAGAAGGTGGGGAGTCCTCAAACCTTCTTCATCGTTGCCGAGGACAACATCATCAGCGCTCGAAACAAACAGTTTCATTTGTGTTCATATTAAAGTTTCTACACCTTTGCCCGGCCATAGTTGGCCTAATTTGCAAGCAAAGTTGTCATGAATATAGGAGGTACCAGAGAGTAACATTACATTCCCTAAAGTATGACTTTCGTTTCATTCAAAGTTGTCTAATTCCCACCAACAGGTACATGCACCACATGTAGCCGCAAAGCACGTCTCACCCCCTGCTCAGTGAGGGGCGGTCTTAACGCGCCCCCATGTTCCCCTCCTTGAGAGATCGCGCGCGTACAGCTGCCGCTTGATGAAGGGCATGCAGACGCGGATCGGACACTCAAGAAGCTGCACGCACGCACACACGCCCTCGCCATCTTGCCTCTGTGCTGGCGTCACTTCGCAGTGCGAAGTTCGCACTCTATCAGAGTACGCCAAAGGTCTTGAGTTTGCGAGGGAAAATGTGTATTACGTCAACAGTCGTTGGTGGGAATTAGACAACTTTGAATGAAACGAAAGTCATACTTTAGGGAATGTAATGTTACTCTCTGGTACCTCCTATATTCATGACAACTTTGCTTGCAAATTAGGCCAACTATAGCCGGGCAAAGCTGTAGTAGAGAAGGTTTCACTGTGAAGCTTGCCTGAGGTTCAATCCACGCGTAGTAACTGTTGGAAAAGGTAGGGCGCCGCGGGGATTGAACTCACAACATACCTGTAGAACATAGCTCGTTAGACCGTTACACCATACAGGCCCCGGTCGTCGTCTGTTCGGGCTGGGACTTGACACTGTCTGATTGCATATTCCAACAGTAACAAGTTGCATGTTCGATAGAGGCCGGTGTCCTGTCAGTTCGCTCAAACCTGCTTTCTGTCGGCGAGCTCACCCACGAGCGGACTTTTATCATATTTATTGCCAATAATTGGGTCAATATGATATTGTATTGGAACCGGGGCGTCCAATAATAAAGATTTTAATTGGAAACCCCAATTATTTACTGTATTGCAATATTGTTTTCCGACCTCTGAATCGAAGAACCCTGTGATCAACTTATTTCAAGTCGGATTTGGATTCCCCGTCAATATTAATAGCTAGCGCAACAACTTAGTCCATTAATATTGTGGTACCTAGCAAAGTGAGCGTCCATTAAGCAATTAATTAACTTCTTCGTCTTCTAGTAGAGCGTCGAATGCTCTCAGGACGGCAGTGCCAGGGGATGAAGTACTATGGGCTGCACGCTTACTACCCTCGCCCATACTACTATTTACACCTACCACGACATGAACTGCCAGCTGAGCAAGCCTGAAGTGTTCCACACCTGAGGTATCCTGAAGATTTCGGTCGCAGAAGACAAATCCACACTCATCTCACGGTTCGTCTTAAAAAAATACTCGCTGTCGCACTTAGCGTTGTTGTGCGCCTCTCGGGCGCTCACTTAAGCAGGAGAAGCCCTTGGTGTGGGTAGAACAAGCGTGACAGCTATTACCCGGCACTAACAGTAGCTGTTAAGGATATAATCTCTACTGTTTGACACTCCAGTTGAGATTCATGAACACTCGCCAGTCGTCATCACTTTCGCTGCTGCCAGACATTGCCAGTCGTACCTACACCAAGTTTTAGCGCAGCCTTCTTCCCCATCGTCCTCCGCGCGGATAATGCACCTGCAGGCAGAGATGCCACATTGGACAAGCTCGACGTCACTCCTGAGCCCATCGACCACTACAGCAATGAAAGCTTGTCCCTCGCTGGGACCACTCCACGCTCGTTGATGAGCTGGTTGCCCCGTCACAGCCTGATCTATCAATTGTCACTGCTGAGGGTTTTCGTGCGAGGGATCGTCGAAACACAAAACTGTGGCTGCAAATTATACGCTCGATTCGTGCACTTATCGAGTTGCTTGTGGCTTGTTAGCGTACATTAGTGCCAACAGATAGTGCAATGCGAAACACGAACACGCTCGAGTGTACATGGTAGTAAAACCGATGACCGAAGTGAAAACCACCAGTACATGGAATGGCGCATTCGATTCACCAATACCTGGTACTGGCAGTGAAAGAGAAAAAAAAATAGCGGAGAGTGGTGTACAGATGAACTGCATGGCTTCGACACAGGATAACTTACTGCATAAAATAGCGGTAGCTAAACCTGATGAGCGAGTTAAAATTGTTGTTGACAACAACTTGTTGTTGTCCCCTGGATCCACTTGAAACACAGGTTTGGCAAGACCTTGCAAAGCTACGAGCGATTACTTTGCACCGAGCGAACGACACTTTCGGATCGAGGAACATCAAGCCTCCACACTAGTCGCTTATAGTCTTGCTACGACAGTCTATTAGTCGCCTGTGCGCTGATGGATAGTTCAGGCGTGGACAGGAGAAAACGCTGACCGCAGAGAACCATCACTGAATCGCATTCGTCTCCTCTCCACACTTTGTGCTCGACTAGAGGAGAAATGGGAAAGCGTTCAAGTGGGTCACCAGGGCAGCTACTCGATCGAGAGAATCGAAAGTCTGGGTCACTACTGCGAGACCAAGTCCACAATGCATGTGCTCGTGGTGTGTGCTTTAACCCCAGTGCCAGCTCTAGCGGCGGCGCTGATACTCGAATCACTCCCCCTTCTGGTACCCTCAAACGGGTGGGCTGCCAACTGGGTCTTCTGGATTCATTGGGCGGTCAACTACTAACGGCATGTTAGTGTTGAGACGACTCGTAGTCGGCCTCCCGCTCACCTTGTGGAAGATCATGATCATCTCGACGGGCGTGACGGCAGGATTCACAGGATTTGCGATCATGTTGGCAATTGTCGTGGGCTTTCCTGTTCCCTTTGTGATGCTGGTGGGCATTCCCAACGTCATTGTCATTGGTTTGATGCTGGTCTTCGTACTGGGTATAGCCCCCTTCCGAAGTTCATCCCCGTTCCGGCCAAATCTTGTCAAATTCCACAACTTTCTTGTTGCTCATGAGACGCTGGTGGCCGTTTATCCCCTGGTCAAAGTGCTCTACGCCTTTGTTCCAACAAGATATTAAGGGTTTACGATGCTTTTACTACCGCTCTGGAAGTCTGGAGCCAAGAACTATGTCGGACGCTCCATCCACGACATGGAGGACTACGTACCAGGCATTGTGGCCTTCAACGTCGACTACTTCAGCACGCTGTTCGTTTCTGTCTGCATGTACAGCTCGGGGTCTCTCACCGTGTCGGTATTGGCCATCTTCACAGACGTGCTGCTATCCGCTTTGGAGTTTCGAGAGGTCCGCAAGAACACCGACATCCTCTACAAGTCGCTGCAAGACCACAAGAACTGGCGCTACAACCACCTGATCCACCAGGAGAGCGAAAACCTGCTATCGTTGGCGCTTGAAGTTGCTCGGAATCCGGAGGCGCGCAACCTCCCGGGCGTCCGCCTGTGGGGTTATATTATAACCCGCACCCGCTCTCCAGTGACCGGTTTGAGGCTCTCAAGAGGCTGTAGACTCTGGAAGTGTATAGCATAGCACCACATCAGTCGACAAAAGCCAGACCATCTCCAATTTCACGCAAACAGCAACCTCGAAGTGTTTCCGTAGCGCCGGCCACCGTCGGACCCGTAGCAAATTCTCTAACAAACCCAGCCCTCGCACAAGCCTCTCGTTCAACCATAAATGCCATTTTCACGGGTGAAGCTGTTGATGGAGCTGACCGATCGAAGAGGCTGATTATCCAAGGCGTTCAACTCCTCTTTCACTGCGAATACCTCGTCTTGGTCGAGTACATTGAGTGCGTCGTCCCCATCGTGTTTGTGATCTAAAGTCGGTGCTCCAGCAGCTCCCGAACGTTGCATATTCTCCAGGTGGAGTTGACGGTTGGCGCAACAGTGCTGTGGGCAACATCATGATATTCGCGGCTCTGGAGTTTATCTCTTTTATCGCCTTGAAAGTGTTACTACAGCGCAAGTTCGCCTTTTCTCCGCTCTACCAACTCGTCTACGTGCTGGAGACGCAGGTTGAGCTTGTTCAAGTCGACATATTTCTCGCGACGTTGGTTTTGCTGCCATACGAGCTCGAACATTTCGGTAAGCACTTTATCATTCCTGCTTCCTATTCACAGGTCGAAGACCTGTGCTTGGCCCCGGCAAAAAACTTGTAACATTCCAAAACGGGGTACCAAACCGTGTCTCTCTTTCTTAATTGTAATGTTTAAGCTAATATCTGCCGGAATCGGGTACCCATCGATAAATGCTAAAATTTATGCACATTATTTACCAAAGGTTGATACTAATCGTTTATTATTGACCAAAACCTGCATTTAAACACTTACGGACGCTCTAGTACAGTATGAGAGCGTCATGGCTTCGCTGAAGGCGTATCAATTTGCGCCATAATCGACCAAGCTTAGCTGAAGATGAACAACATGACTTGTCTAGCTGCAGGCTGCATTTTTTTACATGTCAATTTGCTCAATACCCAATCACTCTTAGCCGAAGATGCCCAACCTCGTGTCTGTCGCCAAACCAATCAGCTCAACTCGACAGTGACACGAGCATCGATCGTTTGAACAAGACTTTTTCCCTGCGTTGAAGCACCCACCTCCAAGGAATTGGCCCATTATCGTATATCTCATTCCGCAATTTATCCCCCAAACCCTCAAGTTAAAAGTTTGTTTGTTTGCTTTGTTTTTGAATTGAGGATCATTATTGTCACTTAGCTAACATACTCAAGTTAAATGGTCAAGATCAGCGCACCATGCGTCTCTCCTTCGTCCCGCTACTGTAGCTCTCTCGTCTGATCGTTAGCACACAACATAGTACAAAAATGAGCACGGTACACCTTACCTGCAAAATGAATGAAATAGCTCTCTCGTTGCTGGCGCCAACGCAGCCATTGGACGCTGACCAGGGTGTTATGTCACCGATGGCCTCATCAGACCAGGCAATCTCAATTGGTGACTTTCGGTTCCTGAGAACCCACCACGATAAAGAAGAGCGGGGCTTGCTGGTTACCAGCCTCACAAAGGTTTGGTTGTGTTGAGGATATGTACTGATTCCCACGATAGTCACTATGGTTGAGGCGTGTGCGCGTATTGCAGAGTGGGTTGTTTGTCCTATGATGGCAGTGAGTGTGCCGGAGGTTTTCCCATAGCGGTGGAATTGTCCTAATGAGGTTGTCCACTACAAGACTCTTAGGAGTGCGACTACCCTGTAAGGCAGTTACATTAAGTACGAGAAAGAATGCTCAGTCGAAGAAATACACGTTGCCTTGTAGGTGGCCGTTGCTGCCTGGTCATCACTTCCGTGTTGCTGCTCGTGAGCTTCCAGGCCTGTCCAAAGCTGCAGTTCCCAACCGGTTATGAGCCCAAACATGCTCTAGCTGGAAGCTCACATACGACATGGTGCTGCTGCGTGCAAGATGAAGAAGCAGAGTCGAGGTCTGGGTTGGTTCTTCTTTGCGGAGCGGAGGATGAGGATACGGATGTGGCGGTTGCTCAATGGTGAAGACGCAAGTTTAATTGATGATAACAGCGACCGCAGGACAAGGGCTAATGACAGTGAAGAGCGTCGATGAGAAGACGTGTATACGTGCTGTGGTGAACAATATGATACGCAAGGAAGAGTTCAAGCGTGTGTTCGGATGGTCCAAGCGTTAGCAGATGCGAGTACTACCTTACAAGTGTGGTGGTGTATGCTGTCGACGACGCGAAGAAGCCGATGAGCTGTTACCATGCTAGACGACGACGCAAGCGACGTGCTCAGCTGAGGCGACGACGAGATGAAGAGCGTGTGGGAGACGCAGATTGTGTACGTGGAGATTGTCGACACTGGCAACAAGGTGAAGCAGACTTCGAGGCTCAAGAGATCGACTGTGGTGGAATGCGTGAGGAATCGAGCGCTGGTGCCCTCGACATTATTCGCGTGGGGCTTCAGACCCAGCGCTGGTGCTCTCGATGGTGAGTGACTGTGGCTTCAATATGGGCGTGAAGGCATTATGCCGGTGAAAAGCGAACGGCATGTGTCAGTGACAGGATGGCAGCTTGCCGACATAAAGTGCAGCGCCTCGGTGATGAAATAAAAGAATACCGGATGCAGTATGCAGTTCGGTGTAACTATTGCGGGGCGAGCTGATGGTTTTCCCACGCCCGATAGTTAATGTATCCAAACTATTGGTGCATGCAGTGATAGTGGTAAACTTCTGACCAGGTGTTGTTTATTTTTCCGCTTGTAGCTGGAAAACCACCCGCGTAGCACCAACGGCGGAATGACCAGTGGCGGGTGCAGATCATTAAGTAATTTGTGGTTTGCTGCTGATATGGTACTGGAGACAGAAGGCGCAGGACTGAAGTGCGTTTTGTCGTTGGAGGATGTGATATTGGTACAGCACGTTGTGGAAGGATCATATCATGCCCGCAATCGTGATCAGTGTGGCGTCATGGCTGTTGTCGTGGAGGATGCAGTGAGCGGAGAGTTATTGGTGTGCGTGAGGCTATGCTCTCTGGAAAGGGCAAATGCTAAGGTTGGTTGGCTACCCTCTTAAATGAGCGCCTGTGTGCTGACGCTGTGGCCTGCCTTGAAGATGAGATGTCGGACTTAGTCCGTAGCGCTAGGGTACAATGCAACTGCGATTAGTGTTGGAAAGGATTATGAGTTTGCGAACGCAGAGGCCAGAATGTATTGCGGCGAAGATGAAGGTGATTATGGTGGTCCACCATATCCATTGATGGACGCAGTCAAGTTCAGCGCAGTGACGGTGGACACCAGTGGCTATTTATGCTGGACGCGTCCGGTCCGCACAGTGACTACCTACCAAGAGCCAAGAGCAGCGAGAGAAGACGTGCTGCGGCTGTAATCCTATTCGCGAAGTAAATACGACGCGAGTGCACTTTGCGCAGATTACATCGAGATGATGAGAGGGCCGTTTTACCTCAAAGGAATTAGATCTCGTGTCTAGCTCGCGATGCGGCTGCGTCGGAATGACGAGTCTTCGCAAGATGAAGGTGTTAAGCGGCGTCGGAAGCTAAGTGGTCCGTTTTGCCGTGGTGATGGCAAGCGTGGTCGTGTGAACACTAGGGACCAAGATGATGGTTGCAGGACCCACCTGCCGTTGCGAGCTCCCAAGTGACGAAGGTGAACTGCAGGAAAGAATTGACAAGTTGATCTGCAAAGGTGGATATGAAGAACACAGCAGATACATGGGCGCCGAAACCTATCCAATTGATGGCTCCACGTAGCGTGACGCTACAGCATTTATTTCGTGAAGCAATGCTAGTTGCTATTATTGCAAGCGGCTAAAGTAACGTTCCGAAATGTTGTTGGACTGGTGTGGTCGAGGCCAGGAGTGGTTCATGTGGGATCTCATACTGAGCGATTGGTTCGTAAGACCAATAGAAGCACAGCAAACAGTGGGCGGTGCCCGGCACCGACTGCAAGACCGCCCGGTACAAAAGGAAGAAGGGATTTTGCTGAGCTGGCGTAGTTGACATGGTCGAGCGCTGTCAAGATTTGTGAATACTTGGTCAGGTGGGGCCGAGTCCGGGCCTTCGCTCGCGCGATCAGCGGATGCAGAAGAAATAATGCGCGATCAACGGATGCAGAATAAATGATGTTGTGAAGCGATCAGCTATGGAGCTGTGGATACCGTGAGGGGCAGATACTATGCGAGATGCCAGGTCCGGTGGTGAGAGAGGTCTAGGCCTGGTGGGGCTCTGAACTCGTTCCTGAGAGATGAAGTGACAGGAGTAGCGAAGCAGCGGGCGGCGCGTGGCACCGACTGCAGCCAGCCATCATCACCGCTGCTTGATGGACTGGCGAGGAGTGAATGCCAAATAAGTCTGGCATTGAAATGTGACGATGTCGCGATAAGCTAGCTTGAAGTTGAAGTAACTTGAGCACGCGGCACATGCAGAGGACAAGATCGACTGCCTCGCTAAGATTGCGATATCAATGCACTTAGTGGCCTATGAGTTCCCGTGAACCAAAATATGCAGATGCTGCGCGTGGTGTCGGTTGCATTGACCAATGCTAGCTACTCGGTGAAAGTGCTAACAACCAGAGAATGCAGTAAGTGGTGTGTGACACCGACTGCAACATGGCCAGTGTCTAAGCCTCACGCGATGAAAGGCGAACTTGACGCAGCAGTGAAGTAGTGAACGGACTCACTCGCGAAGATTCACATCGGGATACGGATATGTGTCAAGGCTGGATATAATTCGCCATGTGCAGAAAGCGTGGGTGACAGCTACATGTAGAGTGCTGATCCACGAGCGAACATTGCCAGCGGACCACCTAAGGGTGAGTTGAACGCGCTGAGCAATATCGTCGTGTGAGACAGCGAGCGTTGGGTACGCAAACAAAAAGAACGGCGGGCGGTGTTTGACACCGGCCGTAGTGCGACCACTAACTACAACTGTGGCTGGTGCTTGACACCAGCAGTAAGATGTGGGCAGAGAGGCACACATACAGAGAGGACATGTGCGAGGCACTGATCGAGCTGTGGGCGGTGTTTGACACCGGCAGTCTTATTAGCACTGGTGTTGACGAATACCAGCCAGTGGACCACTTCTAAGGCTGTGAGTTGTCAGTGGACCTTGAATGCGAGCGGGCTGAAACGAATGCGCTACGCGAAATCGATGCTCATGAAATATGCACGAATGAGTTGAAAGTGTAGCAGTGGGTGGTGCATGGCACCAGCTGCAGAGCGAGAACGCGAGCGACACCTTGCGAAGTGTTGCAGCAGTGGGTGGTGCAAGACACCAACTGCACTGTGAGTGTAATGTTTGATGAGGTCTCCGATGGAGTACCGATTGCCTCGATGAGAGTGCATCCTACGAAATGATTGAAGGAGCCTTGTATGGCGCCTCGCCGCACCTGCTAGAGAGCTTCTGATGTTTTTAAAGAAAGAATTGTTGATTGAGCTCACGAGGAGCTGAGGCATGTCATGCCCAAGCAAGGGATGTTGGCAATGAGATATGGCTTTTATCCCGAAGGGTTTTGCCAGATGACGGAAAATGTGATCGTGTGTGTGAGAGTTGGCGGAAGAAAGATGACGTCGTTCATTAGACCGATTGCAGCAGTGGGCGGTGTTCGAAACCGGGTGTAGTACTGCGGTAACAACTGCGAAAAATGCCAGCCACACAGTGAACTCGTTGATCAGTCGATCGATCACCACTAGCTTCTCGAGCTCCAACGTGAAGGGCTTAACAGCGTTCGTTAGCTGAGTTGCAGAGAAGGCGTAGCGTGGGCATGCAAGCATTTAGTCTACCCGCTGTGATGGAATAGGTGCAGATGAGCTGCCAAGGTGTCCAAAAGTACTGCAGAAAGTTACCACAGACGTGGATGCTGCAGAAGGCACTGTGTGGTTAGACCTGAAAGATGAATGGCTGATAACTTCATATGGAGGTGATACTGGCTTAGAGCCGGAATATGCAAACGCAAGCGGCACAGCAAAACGCTGGTGCAAAGGAAGAAGGTCAGGGAGGACCAAGCGCCAACGTGGCAACCAGTAGGTGGGGCTGTTGAGGATATGTACTGATTCCCACGATAGTCACTATGGTTGAGGCGTGTGCGCGTATTGCAGAGTGGGTTGTTTGTCCTATGATGGCAGTGAGTGTGCCGGAGGTTTTCCCATAGCGGTGGAATTGTCCTAATGAGGTTGTCCACCACAAGACTCTTAGGAGTGCGACTACCCTGTAAGGCAGTTACATTAAGTACGAGAAAGAATGCTCAGTCGAAGAAATACACGTTGCCTTGTAGGTGGCCGTTGCTGCCTGGTCATCACTTCCGTGTTGCTGCTCGTGAGCTTCCAGGCCTGTCCAAAGCTGCAGTTCCCAACAGGCTGAAACATCATTTCCGTATCGATACACTTCGATGTGCACAACTATTTGTTCTCTGAGCGGATAGCTTAGAGCCAGCGTCATTTATTGTCAGACCATCAGTTTACTACATTCGGTACATTTTAATATGAACTAGAGTATCCAAAATCTCATGGTATTACCGGTATAAAGCAGCGCAGCGTCCGGATCGATGCTTTTGACGTGGTTTTGGATTTGGAATAAAACTTAAGCAAAATAAAATGTGCGGTTTAATTCACACCCACCATTACGATGCATACTGTGGTACTGTGCGACGTTGGGGCTCATGCAGGCTGCGGAATCCAAAACGGAGTGCGCATGGCGCGACAGTAGTGTATGCAGTGTCCGGACGTCGCACCACAGTAGTATGCGTAGTGTTTTCTGGACGTCGCATCATACTGTATACCCGTATCTACATTGATATAGACGGACAAGTCCATGGTGGTGCACTTTAGAGTGCTCGATTAGATGGGCGTGATGTTTGCTGCAGCAAGAACCTAAGTAAAGTAATATGAACGCATGGCGCAGCGAAATTAGCGCCAATTTGCACCGCGTACTTTATAACTGCAGTAACGTGTAAACTGCAGATGTAGTTCGTAAAAATAGAGGTATTTTACTAGGTGCGGCTCGCGAAGAAGTCTCGTTGGATGACATTATACTGGGTTGCAACAACTCACGCACCGTGGAGTACTGTAGACCTTGACAGTTTTCTTCCTGATCGTGGGGTGAGCAAAAAAAAAGATAGTAACAGAAATAGCGATAACAATATCAGTTTCAAAGTCAGTAACTAATAGCGGTTGCAGTAGCGGTGGCATTGACAGTAGGGCAGTTGCAGCGGTAGCTGACAGTGATCGTGACGCAAGCGAACAATTCCAATAGCAATATACCGAATAAAAATTATTGTGCCTTTCACTTATTCTGCCGTGATAATTCTGGCATAACTCTAATCCGTTATCGACCTTAATTATGCCGCGAGTTAGCTAATTCCCATGTTAATTCCGGGTGGCCGAATTAGGAGCGGCGATGGTGAGGCCGACTCAAGGTGGTATATGCTAATCCAGCCTTCGTTATTAATAGGCGGAAACAGAGCGATTGGCGGTTTCCTATCCGCCAATCCATGCCATTCTGTTCGTATCTCCGTCGATTAGCTGATCGCGGATGTTAGGGGAAGCGCTCACAATCTTAGGCATAATTAGCACTAAATAAGCGTTGATCACCCTTTTATGACTCTAATTCCGCCTGAATTAACAGCTCACCCACCAAAATACGTGAAAGACACAACGGCAAGCTACTAGCCCAGGTTTTGCAAAACAGGTCTGGCGACAGGTATTGTCCAGGGATAATTTATCCCGTTTTTTATTACCGTCATTTCAGCTTTTGCCTCACAGCCACCAATTCGAAGGGGCCAGCTCCAGCCACGTGGCATTCGACGTGCGGCGGCTGCTCGGCCCTGGAGATCCCAGCATCATGGCGCGCACCCCCAAGACGGCCCATATCAAGGCGCAGATGGCCGAGCGGGCGCGGCAGGAGGAGGAGGCACGCAGGAAGGTGACCAGCGCGCGCACCAGATCGCAGCGATCACAGGCGCTTCAGGATGTCCGCGACTCACGGGCCACGCAGTTCGGCCCTCATGCGACTGCAGAAGGCGACTCATCCACTGGCGATGAAGAGGAGAAAGCGGCCGAAGAGGAAGAAGATGTCGCAGAAGAAGAGGAAGAAGAAGATGATGAAGAGGAAGAAGACGCCGAAGATGCAGACGAAGAGGGAGAAGATGCAGACGAAGAGGAAGACGGAGATGAAGAGGTTGAAGAAGATGAAGAAGAGGACGCGCAGTAGAAGAAAAAGAAGAAAGCAGCTACCAAGGGCGGGCAGCGCCAAGGGAAGTAGCGCACCGTTTCCGACGTTGAAGACGAGGACCTGGTGCACGTTCTAGCGTTCAAGGCCCAGCATGACTCGTGGCCCCTGCTTGATGTCAGCCTACAGGAGTACATGGATGCGACACGACAGAAGATCGTCATCGAGGAGGTCATCAACGTGGCTCGCCGCAACGCAGACTTGCGTAAGCAGGTCCGCTTCCGAGGGCTTCCTGACACAGAAATTCCTCTCGTGCCCGACGAGTGGGAGCCCTATCAGCGGAAGTACATATGCACACACGGCTGGAAGGAGCGTGAGAGATCGACGGGGAAGAGGACGTCGCACAAGCTCCGCCGCACTGAGTGTCCGTTCCAGATGCTTGCACAAATCGTCCTTCGCCGAGATGGAAAGTTGGGCATCGTCATGAAGCGAGAAGTCTACAGCCACAACCACCCCATTTCCGACGACATCTACAGGTCTTACCCAGGTATTCGCCAGGTTCCTGCCGAGTCTCCGCTCATGCCCGGAATCGAGCTCCTGGTCGACACCCAAGCCAGCACTTCCTTCTTATCTGCCACTTTCATGTCATCAAGTGGCTTCATGAAACCATCAAGAAATCGCAGACCTATGGAGCCTACGAAGCAGAAGTTTTGGCGCAGATGAAGCACACCATCACGAACATGACATACTCCAGAACTGAGGAAGACTATGTGCGGCATCGGGATGAGTTCAAGAGTCTGGCCTCGCGGAATGGCCGTGTGGAGCTATGGGAGTATTTCGACAAGAACTGGAATGCGTGCCGAGAGATGTGGGTGATGGCATACCGTGTCAGTTTGCCACACTTCGGCAATCACACGAATAATCGTGTCGAGAGCCTATTCGGTAAGCTGAAGCGAAAGCTGAAAGGCCATCTAACTATGCGCGCTAGTCTGGAGGTGCTTCTGGAATATCAGCGCCGTAAAGAAGAAGCCTATCGGTCCAAGGTCGGGATGCCGGGTACCCTGAGAGACGCCTCGTACCCTGAGGAGTTGAACGTCGCTCTGGGCATGACCACGAGGTGGGTAGCAGCTGCTCTGAAGACACAATTTGACATTGCTACGAACCCCGGGGTTGTCGATACCTACGCTTTCAAGGACAATGGCGCTACGATCACCGTACAAAGCGAGGAGAACGGGTATCTCCTCGAGAAGGAAGGCAGGGTGTGCGACTGTGAGTTTTCGCAGACTATGAAGCTTCCGTGCAGACATGCAATGTCTACAGAAAAGTGTGTGGAAGCCCCTTCATCATCCCATTCTCTTTCATTTCGTCCAGGTATGTCCATTTTTTCTATGAGTATTGACCAGGTGTTATCCAGGTATCTCGTTTTACCCATGTATTGACCAAGTTTTTACCATGTTTTGTTATTGATGTGCATGAATAGGTGGTTTGGACAGAATCGCATCTCGCAACAGGACTTGATGGAGGTGGAAAATCCGTTCGTTGCTAAGCTCTACAAAGGGCATCCAGCTGCGAGCGCTGGCAGTTTGAGTGAAGCCGAGAAGTATCGGCGTTCGCAGCAGGCGTTTGGTCGAATCAGCAGCGAGCTTGTCCGGTGCGATGACACTGTGTTCGAGTCTGCGATGAAGCAGATTGATAAGTGGTGATACGACTTACGTCAAGGGAAGTTTCCGCTGGTGCAAGCTGATGCAGACTTCGTCGACGATTCGGGCCCCGATCGGGTTGGCGCTAGTGGTGGCGGGGCCAACAGTATTAGCAGTGATAGCCACGGAGGTGGTGGAGGTAGCCCAGGAACGGGGGGTACGAATGATCGTCCTAGTGCTTCTGGTGGAGAGGATGCAGCTCACGAAAAAGGACCAGATGATGACGAAGACGAACCCCCGACACAAGTGACAGCCTCCGCCCAGGAATCGGTGCAGCCAGGCAAAGGATCAAAGGTTCGACTGACAAACAAGAGGCGTGTCGGTCGACCACGGTTGAATCGTGCTCAGATGAGAGAGAAGGCAGCATTGGCGCTGAAAGAATACAACAATGGAATGAAACTCAGAGCTCTACTACGAGATAAGGACTTACGGAAGTGGCAGCAACGCTGGAATTGATTAAGCCATGTGTCCGCGAGCTCAGCTCGGTTTTGGCTACGCATGAAACAAAGAAGAAATGGGACGGAAAATCAATCCAGTGGATGTCGGACACGGAATATATTTGCGAGGTTGTGCGCTTCCGACTACCGGAGTCCGTCGTTGAAGACGCTCTAGCTAAACTGAGAGGTGGTTTGGCAAAAGGGGAGGAGATTGAGCTGGACAGTGATGGAGGGGTGACACGCGAAACGGAAGGTTACGTGGTCGCCATTGAGAAAGTTGGCAGATGTACCCGGGTGCAGTTAGAAGCGATGCAGTCGCTGTGGAATTGGCAGGCTACATGCCGGAATGCGGTACTGTGTTGCACATGGCTAAGCCAAGACGTGAAAGGTATCGTAGCGGACCCCGCCCCCCCTGGGCTGTTACTTGGCAAAGTACTCGAGTGCTGGCCATACACATCGCTACATGGCTTTGGCTTTGACCTGACCTACGCAGACCTTTTCTGCTTCAGAGACTCCGCTTGGCTGAACGACAACGCCTTGCGGGCGTTTACCGTGTTTCTGTCTACTTACAAGAACAACGTGACGGTGATGGTTCCTCCTCTTAAGAAGGGTAAGATGGGGAAGCACATACTCGCACCAACGTCGCTGGACGAGGTTGCTAGTGGTATTGAGGCGCATACTTTTGTATTTATGCCGGTCAATTTTGGTGGAGTTCATTGGGGATGCATCGTAGTGAACCGTGAAGCGCGGCTAGTGAAGACGTATGACAGCATGGGTGGGAAGAGAAACAAGAAACGGCTTAAGAAGATGGCAAGCGAGCTCCTTGCAGGCCCCCTTGAGGATGAAGCTTACAGCGACATCGAAGTGACGGAGCCGAAGCAGACAGATGGCGATAGCTGCGGGGTGTTTGCGTGCCGTCTATTGTGGACGTGCGTTGACAGCGAAGTGCCAAGTGATGTGTCTTCCAGTGGCGTCACCAAGCTGCGTTGGGCAATGCTGCACAAGATCACCACGATGAAGCGTAGCTAGACAGTGAGTAGCAGCGAGAAGTGCATCTTATGGATAATACATGGACAACTTTTGTTTGCAACCTGTAAGAAACCTGTACGAGTAGATGGGTACACAATGATTGTTTTGAAGCCATTATCATGTCGTGTGGTTCCGATCGATACCAATCGACGCCACTTCGACTTTTTGCCGAGTAGTGCACACATGAGTTTTCCAGGTTTTCATACCTGCAAACTACCTGGACACTGAAACAAGAAATGAATGGCTAGAATGCATCCGACACAGTCTGTAGGCCGTCATTTTCACTTTTCCTCAAGTACTACGCACATGAGTTTTCCAGGTTTTTAACCTGGACATTAACTGTTCTAGTAATTTAACCATCCTTGTTTAAATTACTTTCATCTGATAACGCTCATAATTCATATACCTGGATATAACCTGAGGCATCACCTGGACAATACCTGCAGAATCAGAAATCTGAGTATTTTTCTAACCTGGGAAACCTGGGCGCGTAGGCTGTCCAAGACACAATACGTCATATTGATATTACTTACGCAGCAATACAAGTCACACACATTATTTGGAAAAGAGGAGAGTGATTTACAAGGGTCTAGAGGACGATAAGATCATCGATAATGTTTGGATCGCGTCGTTTTCACCACGGTGGACGGCGATATTCAGATGGCATCTACTTATAAATTTAGTTTGAGCAAGCCGTGAAATGCCCCGTGATATTATGCAGCAAGCCAAGCAGTATGGAGTAGATTTTGGCAGTCTTTCTCAGGCATGAAAAAGAAAGCAGGAGCAATATCATTACAGTGCCATTATCGATGCTGGAGATCGTAGTTGTAGCGTAAATAACAACGGTAGCGGTAGTGGCAGCATATAATAAACAGTCGCAGTAGCGATAGCAGCAGATACGAACAAGCAATATCAATGATGTTGTCAACATCACAATTCAGTATTATATTGAATTGGTAAAATTGCTTGACAGTAAAAATGATTTAAATATGACGATAACCAAAGCTAATTATTATACTGATTAAATATTTCAATTGCATGCGCCTTGACTGTGTTTTTGAATACCCTGAAATCGTACGAGCCAATAATACAAATTTCAATATGGCGCTTGCCAATAACACATATTTTCGTCATATTAATTGACAATTTTCATATTGAAATTTTTTTATTCATACCCCTGGTCAACATCAATTATAATAGTATGAAAATTTAAGTTTCTTGTAGTAATATGAATCGTTTCAATAGTACTCACAAAAATATTGGTGATAATGTTAATAACAGTAACAAGTGCAGACTGGCGCTGAGGCGCGGCGCGTCCTAACCGTTTTAGTAGCAAAAAACACAAAATTGTTCGGTCCGCTTAGAGACCCGCACGCGAAGCGCGCCCCAGTTCAATTACGCATTCTCGGGCAGATGCTGCGGCTGCGAAGCAGGCTTTTAAGGATTAAAAACAAAAGAACTTTGGGATTTACTCAATTATTATCCGTTATCATCGCCCATGAAACTATTCGTCGGCCAGTGTACCCTCCCGGAGCAACGCTCCGGGTTGCCTATTGATCATGCTGACTGGAAGCGGGTCTTGTGAATGGGTACAGGCATGGATTTCAGTCTTCACTTTGACTGGCTTCGATCTTAGCTAGTTAAGTGGCTTTCAGGATGTCAATTGGGGCGCAGCGAAGGCTTCTGTACGACTTCTCAATACGGCATTGCGATCTTCACTGAGAGGCGCCGATAACTCCACGAGCCCCCCCCCCATCCAAGATCCGTTCATTCGTCTTTTCGTCCTGCATCGGTCTCTCGCTTTGGTCGTGATGAGGCCCAATTGGTTCCCCGCTGCAGCTGCAGCTCTGTTGTGGTCGGCAACAACCCAGCCAAGCGTCCTCGCGTCGGACAGCGACGTCAGCGTCTACGCTGGCCACGACTTCTCCCCGTGCGAGACGCCCTCCACGGCGCGGATCGAGGAAGGCGGCTGCAGTACGGGCTTCGAGTGCACTCAGTACGACGGCATCGGGGGCTTCGGCAACGTGACGTACTACGGACAAGGCTCTTGCAGCAGCAGTCGCGACGCCTACCTCCAGTCTGTCTTTGGAGACGCCCCGTACTTCATGGTCGAGTACTACCAAGACGCCGACTGCCAGCAGCTGAGCAAGAGCGAAGTGTACCGCGCCGACGGCCAGTGCCACTTCCACACCTTTGGCGTCATGTAGATCTGGGTCGCAGACGACCAGTCTATGGCTGCACTTTTGTCCTCCAGCTACTGTGAGAGTAACGATTGGAGCGTGAGTCTGGGGCTCAACGTGAGTGTGAACAGGGCGAGTGCATCCCGCAGAGCGGCGGCCAGGGGTTCCACCCGGACGCGGTCAAGTACATTCTACTCGATGATTCGACAACAACTGCCGGTAGTCCGCCGTGGGTGCCGATCCCCACCTACGGCAACAGTCTGTGGCCTGTTCGAGACAAGTCCCTTTGTGCTGTCGAGACTGGTGCTTGTCGCGAGTTTACGCTCCCTGAAGTCGAACAACGCGACTTTATGGGTTTATACCAACTCAGTGACGCGCTGTCAGAGCGTGAGCGTGAGCTGTGGGCTCCCCGTTTTGATCAAGGACCAGACCTCTTTCCTGATCAATTGCTGCAGCTGCTCCTCCCCGTCAACTCCCGTCTATTCAGTCTGTGGAAGGAGACATGCGCCAAGAGGTACGATCGCACTCGGCCGCAAGAGCTGGAGGCGTGTAAATGCATCCACGAGCAACTGGTGCACGGTCTCAGTGCAGCTCGGCAACTTCAGCGTTATAATGGCTGGTACGAGCTTGATTTCGAGTGGTGCCGCATACTAATCCAGCGTGAGCAGATCCTCTACGACGAAGCGAGGCCCATCATGGTAGCCCTGTGCGACCGCGGTCTCAACTCGAAGTATTTCTACCAGCGTCGCGCGTTTCTCGATAGTATACTGTGTTAGCGGTAGAGTCAATTTATCAGAATTGACCATACAGACATCACTGCAGTGGAAGCCTGTACGTGTGGCTGGCTACTTTAACGCTTCACTACAAGATCAAAGCCAGTCAAAGCGAAGACTGAAATCCATGCCTTGCAATACATCATAAACGCCGTCAGTTGGACTTCAGAAGGATCATGCATAGTACTACTTCCAAGTACGAAGTACCACGAATCGAAACTGTCTTACCGAAATGCTCGAGCTCAGAGGGCAGTAAAACCAACGTCGCGATGAAGACGTCGATTTGAACGAGCTCGACTTGCGTCTCCAGTACGTACGCGAGTTGATAAAGGGGAGAAAAGGCGAACTTGCGCTGCAGCAAAATCTTCAAGGCGATAAAAGAGAAAACCTCTAGCACAGCGAATATCATGATGTTCCCAACAGCACTGTTGCGCCAGCCGTCAGCTCCTCCAGGAGCGTACGCCACGTTCGGTAGCTGCTGGAGCACCGACTTGTAGATCACGAACACAATGGGGATGACGCACTCGATGTACTCGACCAAGACGATGTACTCGCAGTGGAAGAGGAGTTGAACGCCTTGAATTATCAGTTTCTTCGATTGGTCAGCTTCGTCCGCGACTTCACTCGAAAGAATGGCATTTGTACTTGAACGAGAGGCTTATGTGACGGATGAAGTCTGCAGTGAATTCACCACTGGGCCGACCGTGGCTGGCGCTACGGAAACACTGCGAAGTTGCTGTTTGCGTGGAGGACTTGGGGAAATGTTGGCTTTTACCGACTGATACGAACTCGTGCTGTACACATCCAGAGTTTCCGGTCTCTTGAGAGCCTCAAACCGCTCACTGGGGAGCGGGTGCGGGTTACACGCCCACAGGCGAACGCCCGGGAGGTTGCGCGCCTCCGGATTCCGAGCAACTTCGAGGGTCAGCGATAGCAGGTTTTCACTCCCCTGGTGGCTCAAGTGGTTGTAGCTCCAGTTCTTGTGGTTTTGCAGCGACTTGTAGAGGATGTCGGCGTTCTTGCGGACCTCTCGAAACTCCAAAGCGGATAGCAGCACGTCTGTGAAGATGGCCAATACCGACACGGTGACAGACCCCGAGCTGGACATGCAGACAGAAACGAACAGCGTGCTGAAGTAGTCGACGTTGAAGGCCACAATGCCTGGTACGTAGTCCTCCATGTTGTGGATGGAGCGTCCGACGTATTTCTTGGCTCCAAACTTCCAGAGCGGCAGCAAAAGCCTCGTAAAGCCTTGATATTTCGTTGGAACAAAACCATAAAGCACTTTGACGAGGGGATAAACCGCCACCATCGTCTCGTGAGCTACGAGGAAGTTGTGAAATTTGACAAGATTCGGCCGGAACGGGGATGAACTTCGGAAGGGGGCTATACCCAGTACGAAGACCAGCATCAAACCAATGACAATGACGTTGGGAATGCCGCCCACCAGCATCACAAAGGGAACAGGAAAGCCCACGACAATCGCCAACATGATGGCAAATCCTGTGAATCCCGCGCTCACGCCGGTCGAGATAACCATGATCTTTGCCAATGTGAGCGGCAGGCCAACCACGAGTCGTCTCAACACTAACATGCCGTTAGTAGTTAGCAAGAAGCAGATGACCGTCACACGAACCCAGAAGACCCAGTTTGCAACCCACCCGTCTGAAGGAGGTTGGAGGGGGAGGGACTCGAGTATCAGCGCCGCTGCTAGAGCTGGAAGCGGAGTGACAAGGCATACCAGGACCACGTGCGTCGTCGACTTGGTCTTGCAGTAGTGGTCCAGACTTTCGAGCCTCTCGATCGAGTAGCTGCCCTGACGATCCACTTGAGCGTTTTCCCACTTCTCCTCGAGTAGACTCGGCGAATGCGGCTCGACGACTCGGTTCTGTCAGCACTCTCTCCTGTCCACGCGTGAACTTGCGTGCTGTCCATCTTGGAGCGATACGAAAACACCCGAAGAGGAAGTGCAAGTGGGCAGGGTGTCTAATACCAGGATCCAAAAATGGCACTCGGGGCCAACGTCGAGTCTCTCAGTCCGTGCGTTATCAAACTGAGGCCTCGAGGATGAGAGGCTGAATTTGCACGCTGCTGTAGGGAGATCATGCACGGGTAGGTTTTCACAGGACAAGTATGGCCCACACGCATAGCCACCAGAAACACACACCTGTAAGTACCGTATTCAGTTGCGTGGAGACGAGTAAAAGTCCATGTTGGTCATTTATTGCTTGATGAGTGTCATTGCGTGACCTTTTTTACATTTCACCCGTAAAACTAAACGATGACGCATTGTCTTATCCTTGTTTAATGGCGGCCAGCGAAGCCCTTCAAAGAGCAAACCATCGCTCCTACTGCCGGTAGAACGTCTCGTTTCTTTTCACTTAAGCGTCAATGCAATCGTTGTCTGAAGGCCGTGACTATCAGTATCAGTACTTCTTGTCCTCGATCTCGATGCCGACGGTAGACTTTTATTTGGAACACGGGTGGGTCTGGTCCGTGTTGGGTCTTGAGGACCCGACAGATACCTTCCACGTTGTTACAGGTTTGTTTGGGTGGATCTCAAGAATAGGTCACGTACCCAAGACCCTGTTATGCGATCTACCGGGAACGGAAATACCCTATTATTGTGCATTTGCAAGAGTGATAGGCATTATTTCCACCACAGATAAATTTGTTTTCTGTTCTATTTGTTCGTATGTTTCTTGTTGACATATAGGCAATGCGTTGCTGTGAAAGTTTTTACTATCGAAAAGTCATATAGGATCACTTCTAGACTGTTCCGTTTACGCAAAATAACATTTTCGACAAAGTACATAGCATAAGGATCGATTTGCTTTGGATTGGTGAATGGGATGATCAAAGAACCGCGATTTCCATACTATATGTGTCACCGACCGTGTCCTTCGTGGCATACTCCATTGGACGCCTACCAAAAACGGATATAACTCGACATGGAATGAATCTCTAAATTTGTCTCTAAATATCAAATGTGCAGAGGTCGAAATATGTGAGGGGTCGCCTGATATATGCGTCAGTTGCTAGAAAAAGGACATCAATAATGAAATCAAGTCAAATCTAATACGTTGCCGTGCAGCGACCCTTCGTTTACTCAGACGTAAAAATCGTCTGAGTAAATATAAGTTTTCTTAAATTTGAATATGTTGGGTGATTTGTTCGTTTTTGGTAGGCGTCCATAGCAGTGTGAGTTGTTCGTCGAGCTTCGGTTGTGTGCGCTATAACTCTGGCTATCTGTAATAGTGTTCCGTGATCAATGCTCGCTTTGGATACGAAGCATTACCCACCTTGGTTCACGGAGAATAATTACAACTGTGGCAAATCTTAGATGGTAAACAAAAGAATAACAAAAGGGGAAATGTAGACAACGACTGGGCACGAGATTGTATATGAGACAAGCGTATCCGTTTATTTCGGGGTCAACGGCATATTTTAGATAAGGGACGATGCGTATCTGCGAAGTGGTATTGTCGTACATTCGCAGGGCGGTGCGATAATGTGCAACCGCCCAGCCTCCCTGTGAGCCTTGCAATATTTGGGCCATTCTCAAAGTCTCACTGAGCCCCTCGACAGCCGCCTCCAACACCTTCTTCCACTCGCTTTTGCGCATTTCAAACGTCATGAGCGACGGAACATCTTCGGAAGCAAGCTACAGCTACGAGTCGGAGTCTCAGCACTGGGAGTTCGGTGACTACGACTATCTCGACGATGCTGACGACCAAGTTGAAGTTGAAGACGCCCAATTTGAAGATAATCGGCAACCACTCGCGTTGGGCATGACCCGTTCGTCGTCCCAAGACGCTCGCGAAGATCAGCAGCTGGTGACTGACCAGGATCGAGATGGTGAAGGTGGGCCCAGGCTGCAAGACAGCAACGAGGACGTCGGACTACGTGCCAGGGGGTCTGGAGGGCGTCGTCAGCTACATACTGACAATGAAAGTGAAACCCCACAACCAAGGGCGGAACCGAGGGGGGGCAACGCCGCGACCAATTGCGGAACACGGGGGTGAGGAGGTGGGAGATGATGACTCTGAAAACGACGCGGGTGACGAAATGGATCCTAGGGCGGAACAAGCTGGTGGGAACGATGGCGCTAACTCTGACGACGACGGCAATCATGTTCGACGCCATTCAACTGTCATCCATCTTAACGGGTATCAGTACACCCGAGCGCGTCAGTCACGTGTGAGGATCGCTTACCGGTGCAGCGTCTACCGAAGAACCGGCTGTAAAGGGAAGGTGCAATACGAGTTTGCCTCAGCAGCCTACATCAATTTCGTAGTCCATACATGCAGGGCTACTGTGATCGCCCCTGCAGCAGCTGCAGCAGCCGTAGACGTCTCTACACGGATGGAAGCAGAGACAGACCGCCTCGCGACGACCAATCAAGGGATGACAGCTCAGCAAATCTGGGAGTCTGTGAGTCAACGATTTTATCGACGCGACGACGGGATGGTGATCAGGGGTCTCACTCACACGGCTCCAAGTGATGGGGCGCGTACACCGAACACGCCGCATGCACTTCGGGGGTAATGTCCACGGTGTCATTGAAGTCCCACCTCTTGCGCTAGTCGCAGGGACCGATTTGACGTTCTTCCAGTTCCAGCATATCTACCATGAGGCTGGCCACCTTCAAAGTATTATCGGATGGGCACACCCGCGTCTGCTTGAGCTGCTCCGGTATCCTGGCATTCAGCTTTTCATCGACGGCACATTTCGTTCGGTGCCTCGCTCATTTCACCAGTGTGTGGTTGTGATGGTGCAAGATGCCGCTAGTCGAGTCTTTATTCCGGTTGTCTACGTTCTGACAACGAACCGCGCCATTCCGACGTACAACCGGCTGTTCCGGTTCGTGGCGGATGCAGCCGGGCAACCGCTTCGACCAGCACAAGTTGTGGTCGACTTTGAACAAGCCCTGATTGATGCGGTTGGAGAGAACTTTCCGACGGCGCGCGTATCGGCTGCTTGTTTCACTGGAAGCAGGCGATTCGCCGTCGGATGATTGCGCTGCACCTGCCAGCTCGCGAGATTGGTATTGCCATGGAAGTTGGAGTGCTGGATATGCTGACGGTAGTGCCGCCTGCAGACGTCGACCCCCTCGGATTACAATTCGTCGAGCGAACAATTCGTCGGCGCTGTCGCGAGGAAGGCGTCTCCTACTCGACGCGCTGTTTTGGGCTTATTTTCGCAGAACATGGCTGACCCTGTTCCCGGTGGATGTGTGGAATGTGCATGGTATGGACTTGCAAGTTGTCATTCGCACCAACAATCCACTAGAGCGTTTTAACCGCGAGTTAAACGCTGCGATTGCAGCGCCACACCCAAGTCTGCCTGCATTTGTGGGTATGATTGACAGTCTTGCCCAGCGCTACGTCCGCTTGCTGAACGACATTACTAATCGACGTGCCGGTTCCCCTCAACAAGGAGTTGTTCAACTCCCGGTACCAGTTCCGTTGACTCGCCAGGGGGCTCAACGGCGTCAGGCTCGCCGTGGAAGACGACAGACCCGGCAGGCCCGATGGAACAACAAGACATACGCGTAGATCGACTTGATCAGCTGCGGTGAATCAGTTGGCAAGCGTAGTCAGCTAGAATTCTTATCTTTTATATTTCTTTTCTCGCCCTGCATAACGCTTTTACAATATACCTCTAATATTACATAACTTGTGTATCGAATTTCCGCATACAATTTTAAAGGTCATTATCCCTCTAAATTAGGTATTTCCTGTTTTAGGTCCCTTACAGTTCCAGATTGGTCTCATTTTTGGGTCATTTTCGAGCGGGTCTTGATTTTAGGTCGCAAGATCCAAAGCGGCGGTGACCCGATTTGAATTCTTCCATGCCGACCTTGCCGATGTGGCGGCCGGACTTGAGGAAGTCGAACGCCTCCAGCACGGAATCGCGCTCGAAGCCGAACGTCTTCTGGACGTAGGGCTGGATGCCCTGCTGGGCCACGAAGTTGACGAGCTCGCGCAGCAACTGCTGGCTGCCCACCACGACGCCACGCACGACGCAGCCCTGGGCCAGCGCCGGACTCGCGACGTCGGGCATGTCTTCTTGCTTGGCCTGCGACAGGAAGCCGATGACCGCCACGATGCCGCCGCGCGCGCAAGCCTGGATGCTCGACTTGATGGTGCCCGAGCCCCCGTTCTCGATCACGAAGTCGGCCCCGTGGCCGTTGGTGAGGCGCATGACTTCGGCCGCCCAGTCCGGCGTCGTGCGGTTGTTGATGGTGTGGTCCGGGCCGAAGCGCTCCTGCACGAACTTGAGCTTCTCGTCGGACGAGGACGTGATGATGGTGGTGGCGCCCGCCGCCTTGGCCAGCTGCAGCCCCGTGATGGACACGCCGCCCGTGCCCAGGAACAGCACGGTCTGGCCCGGCTTAAGCGGAATGTTCCCGTACAGCGCGTTCCAGGCCGTGACGCCCGTGCACACGAGTGACGCCATCTGCACGAAGCTCAGCGTGGAATCCTTGGGCATTTTGGTCAGTACATGGGCCGGCAACGCCACAAACTGGCGCAGTACGCCGTTCAGCATGCCGCCGAGAGAGTGGGCCCAGTCCTGCTGCGGGCCGTACAGGTTGCTCACGTCGAAGTTGGTGATGACCTTGTCGCCGAGCTCGAAGCCGTCCACGGCCGAACCGACGTCCACGACGACGCCCGCACCGTCCGAGCACGGCACCACCTTGTCCTTGACCGGGAACGGGTAGGTGCTGTCGGCCACGGCGATGTCTCGGTAGTTGAGTGCCACGCCGCGAATCTGCACGAGCACCTCGTTGGGCGTGGGCTTGGGCTCAGACACGACGCGCATGTTGTGGTGCGAGGAGCGCTCCGAGTGGCGGAAGGCGACGTGAGAAGACATGGCTGGCGAATCGGGAAGAGAGTTTGCTTGGTTGGGTGCTTCGTTAGAGGCGAATTGAAAAGTGAAGAATGCCGTTTGTTGGGAATGGGCTTCGCCACTGGCCAAAGGTGCTCTTGGACGCAGGAAATACGTCGACACCTAAAGTTTTTTGGGGAAGTTGCGTGAGATGACGTCGCCACTGCTTCCAGACATGAATTGTCGACGAAATTCGACGCAATCAGCGCACGGACAGGACTTTGCTTCGTCATAATCGATGGGGAGATGTCATCCTGACTCAAACCCCAAATTCTCTGGCAAGCACACGCAAGCTAAGGGCACCTTGGCGAGAAGAATCGGCACAGCAGAAGCGCAGACGTATCTAACGCCGAAATCATCATCGGAATCGTTCTGGCAACCTGGCAACGGCGTCGGGGGCTCAAAACGAGCAAACTGCAAGAAGAAAGTATGTGTAGTGCTCACGTTTGCACGTCTATTTGGTACGAATCAAATGGATCGTTGCTGGCACTCCACTAACGCGGATGCAAGAGCAGCTTTACGCCAAGCCCGTTCAAATGTTGGCAGGCTTGATGACGCTCCACTCCTGGTTGGGGTTGTTCGGCGAGCATCCGTAGAGCTGCACCTTGTTGTTCTGGGCCGGGTCCGAGTCGAGGCAGAAGCCCTGGTGCTTCGCGTGGTTGAGCTTCCCAGTAGCACTCTCGAAGCCCACCTCTGGTTGACCTCGTTGTCCATGCAGCGGTAGACGTGAACCTTGCCACTGTTCCATCCCTCGTACGCGTCCAGACAGCGGTCGCTGCTCTTGGAGCGGATCTGCTTGGTGGCCGCGTCGAAGAACCAGACCTGCTGCTCCTGCACGACCCAGTCGCTCGACTTGCCCGTCATGGTCAGGTTGGTGTCCTTCTCAGACAGCAGCAGCTTCGAGCCGACATTGCGAAGGGCGCGTGGGTCTCTCGTGTGAATCGTCAGGTGCTGCAAGTTGCGCTTGAGCGTGCCGTTGTTGTAGAACACACCGAAGTCGTTCTCGATCTCCGTGCGGAAGGTCGTGTCGAAGGCAAAGTACCAGTAGAAGTCGAAGTTGTGCGAGCGAGACACTTGGTACAAGTCCGAGAAGTACTTGGCCTGGGTGGCGGGGGTAGCCACGCCAACGCCCTGGTGGAAGCCACCGGAGCTCCAGCCTGTCTCCGATATCACGAACTTCTTGCCCTTGCTGGCGGCCAGCACACGCAGGTCCTTCAGGTCCTTCAACGTGTTGGCAACGCTCTCGTTCACGTCGTCGCCATACATGAAAGACTGGTAGTTCACGGCCACGTAGTCCACAGCGTCCACGACCTTCTCAGTGTACACGTCGTAGGTGTCGGCAAGGGTGACGGGAGTGTTCTTCCCGCGGCTGCGGAGGTAGTCGCGGATCTCCTTCACGTAGCTGATGGCCGTATCAACTTCGAACTTCTCGTACATGTAGATGGCCACGTCGAAGCCGATGACGTTGTCGTCGTACAGGCCCGCGTCGATGAGGCTGGCCAGCTTGGTCTTCTCCTTCTCCAGCGTCGAGTGATTAAACGTCGTCCAGATGCCGAGGTCGACCTTAAGTCCGGCCTTCTTGGCCGCTGGAAGGATGGTCTCGGCCTGGTTGCAGTCGATCAGCGAGTAGATGCGGACCTTGTCGGCGACGGCGCTGAGCGCGTTCAGGTCCTTCTGCATCTCGGCCGTCGACTTACACTTGGCGCTGTCCGGTTCCCAGTCTTGGCCCTTGCGCGGGATGTAGTTGACGCCGGGGAACTTGACGTTGAGAGCTTCGACGGCTCCATTGGAGAGCGTCAGCCCCACGGAGGCGGCAAGAGCGGCGAAGGAGAACCTCATCGAGTCAACAGAGTAGGCACTTGCTGGAGCGAGTGAGACGAACTCGGGAAAATTGAGAGTGAGCGAAGGAATGCACGAGAGGCAGGAGCGGGGATTACTGCCAACGCTAGTGAGCTCGAGTTTTCGTCTGTTGCGGTACACGTTGTGCTGTATCCAGGATAGTGCAGTGGTGGCGCTATGCTGCCCCCCAAATCACGTTCCGGTGCCGAAGCACAAGTATAAGCTTTGCTTTTGCTTACAGTACATGTATTCGTGAGCATTGTTACTGGCCATGCGGAAGCTCGTCTCACGACAACAAGTGGTCCTTCGTTGGTGATGATGGTGATTCAGGATTACGTGTGGCACAGCGACTGGCTTACGTCGCTCGTTTCTAACGCCAAGCGATCATTTGTTGTCGTGACACCGAACCTCTGTGACTAAACCGTTGAGGCTCAACTTGAGCCTCCATGCCGTCGTGTTGCCGTAATTTATTAACGATTTGCACTTCGCACTTCTGTAACTTTGGATCAACGTCTAAAGTCTGAACAGAGCAACAAGAAGTGCCTAGCACATACCCGTCGCTAGACTTCAACGATTGAGAGAAGTCCGCCCATACAATTTGTTTGTCCAAATCTAGGCTGTGCTCAGCGCTGCGATGCCCTTGATCGCCTCGTACACCATCGAGTCTGCGACTTTCGCACCGAGCTGGCTGGAGCGTGAGAAGCGCTTGACGTCCGGCGGGAGCTCCGTTGAATGCATCCGATGGATCTTGGTGCAAATATACCAGCAGACAACGCGCTCGACTCCATCGTCGCACCGTTCTGGCCTAACCAGGAGCCTGTTAATAATAATGAAAACGTGTCAGAGATTTAAAAAAATAATAAGCACCGAGAAGAAGATAAACTTACGCCCCAACGGTGCTGCGCGTGACGGCCGTGGTCTTCTTGAGTGGGTACAGCGCGTCTTCGTCCACGCAATCCCACAGCAGAACACTGCCTGCGCTTCCAACGCGGCCGTAGGAGATATCCCGGCTTTTCAGGAAGACTTGCTCGCCAGAGCTTCCGCCCTGAAAGCGGTGCTCGCTCACGTCGTAGCGGATCTTGAACTTTGTGGACAGCACTTCCAGTTGCTTCACTGAGGAGCTCATCAGCGAGTAGCCCGGCCAGATGACGGCGCAGTTCACGATGGCGTTCCGAGCAGCTTGAAATGTTTTGCAAGCGCTCGCTGCGTCTATTGCATACACAGCAACTGAAGTGATCCCAAAAGCCGACGATCCCAGACCCAGCGCCTCCCATGAGAAAGTTGGCGTCGTGAACGGGCGAGTGCTCTTCGTCTCAGTGAGGAGGATTTCCTTCGCCAGATCCAATTTGGCGTCAGTACAAACCGCGTCAAGGTACCGAGTGCGAGCCTGAAGATGCTGGGGTAGCTCCGTGACTGCATGGAGGAAGCTGTGCATGTTTAAACCTGCACGATATGGCATCGTCTCTGGGATCACGGTCGTGCAGCTCCGAAAGAGTGCGCTGTGTCGGAAGATTTCCTGCCGAATCTGATCATTAAACGCTCTGGCTTCGTGAAGTTTACGGAGTTCCGCGGCTGCTGCTTCTTTCCAACTTATTGGAACTAAATTTGAGCGCAGGCCCCCCTGTTGGTCCAGCAAAGTCTCGAGATAGGCGCTTAAATAGCGCTCCTCTGCCTTTAACGAGTCCATCTCAACCTGAAGGACGCGAAGGACTATGATATCTTAGTAGATAAGACTTCGAGGTAGGTATTATAGGCATGCGTTTCCTCCAAAGGCAGGCTTTCCTAGTCTCATTTTATATTTCGACAGCCTTTGCAGCCACTTCATCTTCCAACGAAACTGGGCATGCGATTCCTAGCTCTAGTTTGTGGATTCCTGCTGGGTTTAGCTGCCAAGCTCCCGGTTGTTGAGTGCAGCGATATTGGCTCGGATTCCTCCTCCCTTGACGCAGACTCCGGTTCTCTCTCCAATGCCCGCGTTAGTGTGTACACGGGCCACGACGACCTCAACTGCTCGACCGCTTCGACGGTCGTGATTCAAGAGGGAGGCTGCGACGACTGGAACCTTTTCCAGTGCACCCCCTTCACAGTTGGGGCGGGGACTACGTACTATGGTCAGGGGACCTGCAGTAGGGGTATCTGCAGTCAACGTTTGGCGACGTGGGGCTCTTCGTGGTGGAGTACTAGGACAGCGACTGCAGCACGCTGCACCGGAGCGACGTGTATCTCGCCGACTCCAAGTGCCACTACTTCACGCTGGGGGTGATGCAGATCTGGACGGCCGAGGACAAGTCCATGGCGGCGTTGACAGTCAACTCGGCTTGTGACAAGATCGATTGGTCGGTCTTCATGGAGCTCAACGTGAGTGTCAATACTGGCGAGTGCGTCGCTGACGGTGACAACTCCACTGATAAAGGGCTCAAGTATCTTCTGCTGGGGGAACCCGTGTACTTCGATCCCTTTGCTGCGAAGTTGGCCACGGATGGGAATACGTCGACGACAACTACAACTACAACTACGACTTCCGACGCCGACTGCCTCCACGGCCACGTCATTTTTCACGATGAACATATTCATGATTCTACTAATGGCGACAATGGCCATTGCGGCGACAATTTAAGCTGCGTTGGGGAGTATTCGAGCCTAGTGACCAAGCGGGGCTCCAAGCAAATTAATATTCAAGGCTAACTTTTACTTCACTCGATCCTCTCGAAGACCTTAACTGCTACGAATCCTGAAAGTACCGCATTTCACTTACGCCACTTCACGCCACAGCTCTGTCTATCAGAGCCACATTCTACCATCTAAACACACACAAACGCGTCCAAGGTCGCGTCTAGAGCTTCCGGGACTGCTGCTGCTGCTGCGTCTGCTCCGTTGAGGTCGAGCTTCCAGTGGCCGAAGTCGTGGCCGCCGTGGACGCGCTGCCGCTGCTGGACGGGAAGAGAATCTGCTTGAGCTTCTCGTCGCGCAGCACGGCGCGCAGCGACCACATGTTGTCCTCGGTCTCGTCCGCGTAGATGCGCCAGCTCCAGTAGGTCCAGCCCCCCTCGGCCTGGTTGACCACGTCCGTCTCGGCCTGCGCGAACTCGTAGAAGAGGTCCTGGTCGTCCTGGAACTTGCCGGCCGTGGCGAAGCTCCACTCGCCGATGAAGAGGCGGTTGTGGTTCTCGCGCGCGTTCCACGTGCTCACGCTGTTCTGGAAGTTGACCTTGACGCTCGTGCTGACCAGGTCCCCGTCCGACACGTCATCGTAGCCCCAGACGAAGTACGGGTGCCACTCGACCCAGACGTTCGTGTACCCGGCCGAGGCCAGCATGAAGTCCGTCAGCACCTCGGCGTTCTGCTCGGTCAGCAGCGGGGCCACGCTCAGCACGCACTCGCTGCCCGTGGCCCGGATGGCCGCATACGCGCGCTCGTAGTAGTCGTACAGCACGTCCGTGGTCGTGTCCCCGTTGGGCTCGTTCAGCAGGCCGAAGCCCAGGAACGCGTCCTCATCCTTGAAGCGCTCGGCCAGGTACGAGACCATGGCGATGGTGTTGTTGACGTTCTCGGCGTAGGACCCCCAGAACTCCGAGCCGTAGACGGTGGGGGACGAGTTGTCGGCCCCATTCTGCGAGCCCTTGGCCGCGTGGACGCTCAGCAGCACGGCCACGTTGTACTTCTTGGCCCAGTCCGTAACGAGGGCGTCCAGGTACTTCAGCGTGCCGTTCGTGTAGACCTTCCACTCGGCCTTGCCCGACGGGTCGTAGTCGTCGAAGCCCACGATCCAGTAGCCCACGGGCACGCGCACCGTGTTGATCCCCACGGCCGCGATCTCGGCGATGTCGCTCTCGTTGATGAACGTCGAGTGGTGGTACTCGAGGTGGGACCGGATGGCGTCCGGGTCGGTGGCCTGCGCGATGGCCGTGTACTCGCCCTGCGAGGCGTTGACGGCCCCAGTCCAAATGTCGGCCGTGGACGTCATCCAGTACTCGGCCACGAGCCACGAGCCGAGGTTCACGCCCTTGCTGCTGGTCTCGCCGTTGCGGATGCTGTACTGCACGTGCTGCGAGGACCCGGAGCTGGAGGTCGAAGTCGAAGTCGAGGCGGACGTTCCGACAGTGGCCGACTCGGCCGCGGACTCGTCGGAGCCTTGCGCTTGCACGGTGCCCATGAACTGCTGCACGCCGTCGCTGCCGGTGAAGTCGAAGGTCGTGGCCGACGCGGTGGCCGCGGCCACTGCGGCCAGCAGAACGGAGAGCGATCGCAGCATCGGGGAGGTGTCGGGATGGTGGCCAATTGCAAAGTGATGAAGGCGAGCGCGTGACTGAGCGGGGGCGACCGAGGTGGCGGAGGATGCCCTCGGCATCATTCTGGTCCTTCTCACTCAACTGGTGGCCATCGCCGCCAGCCCGTTCTTGCTAGTCGTCGTAAGTGCCGCCCCCAGGCATGTGCATCCACCATCACGTCATGCTGCAGATGGCGAGTGCGAACGCGAAATCAGGACTGGGGCAGCCCGCTGGGGCTTGCCCCGCGCTCTCAGCTATCGACTGATACGGATAGGAAGGAGTCTCTGGCCAGCTTCTAGCCATATCGTGCACTGTAGCCAGCTTTCGGCCGGGCCGTAGACTTCGGCACGCCAAGGCAAATCTAGTGCAATCTCTACTCGTTGTTTGATGACTTAGCTACACGTATCCTACTGTTCCCCGCACACACCGAAAAGGTACAACTTCAACTATGGTTGCTGCAGTGGTAAGGGGCGGCAACGTCGCTCAGCTCTGGGCCGCGTTGGGGAAGAAGATGCTCTTGAGGCGGGTGTCGCGCAGCACGCTGCGCAGCGACCACGCGTTGAAGCCGCTCTCGTCGCCGTACAGCCGCCAGCTCCAGAAGGTGAATCCGCCCCCGGCCTGGTACATGACGTCCACCATGGCCTTGCAGAACTCGTAGTAGCCCTCCTGGTCGTCGCCGAACTTGCCGGCCGTGGCGAAGCTCCACTCGCCGATGAAGAGGCGGTTGTGGTTCTCGCGCGCGTTCCACTGGCTCACGCTGTTCTGGAAGTTGGTCTTGACGGCCGTGTTGGTCAGGTCGTACTCGCTCGTGCTCTCGTAGCCCCAGACGAAGTACGGGTGCCACTCGACCCAGACGTTCGTGTAGGCGGGCGCCTGCATGAAGTCCGTCATGACGTCGGGCGACTGCTTGTACAGCAGCGGCGCCACGCTCAGCACGCAGTCGCTGAGTGTCCGGATGGCCGCGTACGCCTTCTCGTAGTACGCGTACAGCTTGTCCTCGTCCGTGGACGCGTTGGGCTCGTTCAGCAGGCCGATGCCCAGGAACGCGTCCTCGTCCTTGTATCGGTCGGCCAGGAAGGTGGCCAGCGAGACCGTGTTGGCCACGTTCTCGTCGTACGCGCTCCAGTGCGAGTTGCCCGGGTCGCACGGGGACGAGTGGTCGGCCCCGTTCTGAGAGCCCTTGGCCGCGTGCAGGCTGAAGAGCACGGCGATGTTGTGCTTATTGGCCCAGTTGGTGACCAGCGCGTCCAGGTACTTCAGCGTGCCGTTCGAGTACTGCGCCCAGGCCGCTTGGCCGCTCGGGTCGTCGTTGTCGAAGCCGACGATCCAGTAGCCCACGGGCACGCGCACCGTATTGAGGCCGGCGGCGGCGATCTCGGCGATGTCTTTCTCGGTGATGAAGGTCGAGTGGTGGTAGTCGAGGTTCGAGCGGATGGTGTCCGGGTCCGACGCCTTGGTGATGGCCGTGTACTCGCCCTTGCCGGCGTCTTCGTCGCTCACGCCCTGCCAGAAGTCGGCGGCCGACGTCATCCAGTGCTCGGCCACTAGCCACGAGCCGAGGTTCACGCCGATACTGGACACGTCCCCATTGCGGATACTGTACTGGATGTGGGTAGTCTGGGTGGCCGATCCAGTAGTGCTTTGCTGCTGTTGCGTGGTGTCGCTCTGGCCTTGGTACGAGCTGCCGGACGCCGCCACTTGGGTGGCCGATCCGCTATCGGTATAGTTCACCCTCGGTGCAGTTGTCCTGGGGCATGGCGTTGGGGTTGAGGAGGTGTCGGACTGGGATACGTCGTCCGTAGCTTGGACTTGGGCCACGGCGTTGTAGTCGCTTCCGAGTGTGTTGAAGTCCGTGGCAGCCGTCGGGTTCACCGTCAACGCGGCCAGCGCGGCAGTCAGGCAGGCGAGTCGACGGAGCATGGCGGAGGTGGGGGGTGGAGTGCGCTCGAGCTGGCAAATTGAATTGTGCTGCGAGGGACTTCCGCTGTCCGAAGGACTTCGACTTGAGGCGCGGTTGGATTAATCGCGGCGAGCGTGGTACGGTATCGGCTTCGAGACGGTGCTGGGGCCGGAACCACAGCAGTCTGCGGATGCTGGAAGCTCGCCCTTCGACCACATGGTTGTCTTCTCGCCAGTGTCCTTTCACTAGTTTTGCCTCGATCGCAGATGGCGACCGAATGGGAGTGGAGTGGAGTGGAGGCATTCATCTAGGCTAGAGGCATCTTGCATACTGGAACGTGCACCTGTCTCTATCTATCGTCATCTGCTCATCGCAAGCCTGACATTTCACGCCAAAACACTCTCGGGAGCTTTGATGCAGCCTCGGCCATCTGCCCTGAGCTCCTGTTCCAGCGGACTCGAGCGTCACGCGTTGACCAGCAGCACGTGCCCCGTATCAGATACTGGTTGTGCTGGACTGTTCAGAAGGTTACGCTCGCAACTCGACGTCACCACTCGATGCGCGTGGGCCTCAAATGCTTCCTGGAAACGGTCGTCTTGACCGACTCCGTTTGCATCGGCCACCTCATCGAGGCAATGGTGCTCTCTTTCCGCATGGCCGAGAGAGATCTCGCGTAGTTAATGGACTCGCGAGCGCTTCACCGTAGGCAGCAACGCAAATGCGAACAGTTAGGTGGGCAGTTTTACGAATACTTTGCGTGCCTGTTGCCTTTCACATGTCTGTGAGATGCCAAAGATACCAGCGGATTCAGAGCCGTATTGCTCTATCTGCGATGCTACACACAGCAACTTGCTAACGGCTGGGGTAAGGATCAAGTCACGCGCGGCTTGCCTTTCGTCTTAGTATCACTCGTCAAGGCGTCTGCGATGCGGAGCAAAAATTTCCACGCCTGGAATTGTTGGCAAGCCGGTCACGGAAGGAGCTCTTATTCGCGTACTGTAGA